AAAGTTATTGATTGCCAGGTCATTAGCGTTTGCTTCGTTCAAGACTTGGTAGATGAACATGTCTTGAGAGTCGTTCTCATTAAATGGCAGCTGATGATCACTCTGGGACTGGGTGACTTGAACCATGGATTCCTTCCAGGCCTTTTCTTCTCTATGGGATGTCATGTTGGTTTCCAGAGGCTTTGTGGTATAGTGTTTGATGAGGCCTCAAGTTTGTACAAAGTGGCTCTAGACTTGTATTTAAGAAAGAAGAATCTTGGGTGCATGTGGGGTTTTTCCTTGGAATTTTATTACTTAGCAGAAAGGAAGGTGAGAGGAATCAGCGTCTAGACATGATTTTGTTCTGCCTTGGTCTATTCTACTTTATTTCTTCATTGGCGTTTACACAAAATGAAATATTTTTCTAGTTATTACAGGACCCATCTCTTTTCCTCCAAATATATTTATTTCTTTAGTTAGGCTCCTCTAGCCTTTGGCATATGAATTATTAAAGAAAGTCAAAGAGAAAATTTGGAAAGGATGTGATATTTGGCTTATAAACTGTAGATTTAGATAAGAATAAGACACTAGCTGAGGTCGGTTTTGAAAGGGGTTTGTCTTAGCCTCAGAAAGTGACAGATGTTCTTCATTCGGGAAAATGGGATTCTTTTGTGTGAATAATTTTCATCAATTATCATGAAAATTAGGAACAAGCAAAGTTGGGTTTGATGTCAATTTTGAACACATCATTTTGTTGAATATAGCGTATCGAGATTGGCTTTGATTGCGTAGAAAGACTACGAAAACATGTGCAAATACATTGTAAAGCAAAAGGGCGAAAGCCAATGATTTCCTATGAAATCATCTCAGTCTATACTTTTATAGATTGACAGTGAATTAGGGATAAAAAAAACTAACAAAAAATTGGAAGTAAAAATGCAGGGACAATTCTGCAATTGATTGCCAAAACAATGGCAAATACCTGAATTTCTAGTCAAGATCGCTTTATTGAAGGTGAAGTCATCGGGGTGACTTTGCACCAATCTAGATGCGATGAATGACGCAAAGAGTTTGGCATTCATAGAAATCTTTGAGCTCATCATGCCGTCATATAGAACACCAGAATCCCCTTGGGAGAAAGTTCCAAATCAATCTCCATCTTGACTTTTCGACAGCTGAGATTTTCGTGTACAACAGAAAAAAAATGTCGAAATACAACTCTATTTATTCATAAATCACAAAATCATGGACCACAACTTTGAAAGTAGAAAGAAAGAATTAAAATGGCCCATACATGTAAAGTTTTTTTCCCAAAGCTGGTCCAAAGAGAAGACTAATTGTAAACCACAAACAAATGGTTTTGAATGAAAGATGAAAAGAAAATAGGGATAGGAAATTAATGGTTTTTTTTTTTTTTTGGTGTAAGGATCATTTAACAATGAAAATACTTAAATTATTTGAATTTTTTCATTTTTTAAGTTATAATTAAAATTAAAATTCGAAACTCTCAATCATGAAATTGATTTTGTACCATTAAATTGACAAAATTAAATTTGAGTTTACATTTGTTATTTTTTTCATTGAAAATTAATTGTTAATATCTCCAAATATGTTTCTTCACCCAACATTTTACCAATACATGATTACATTCTTTAATGCATGAAAATTTGACATGAAGGTATTGCATTGATAAGATACAAATTTTAAAGTCTAACTGATCACACATTCTAGATTTTTTCAAAAATCGAACTACAAATTTAAAAAGAAAAAAACCGTAACGTGAACAAAAATAAATTTAAATCAAACACATAGAGGTAGGTATAGTAATCATCAACTATAACTCCAAAAAAATAAAATGGAGAAAAAAGTTTTACACTGCTTAAGTAGGCTTGCTAATGAAACAACTGAGACGAGCAGAGGCATGGGGAGAGTTGTACTAAGACCCGAAAGGAATTACTATGAATTGGTGGCCCATTGGGCAAAGGCTACATTAATTGGGTCTACCAGCACTTGGTGGGTCTTTATGTTTACCTTAACAAAATTGTGTATCTTCACCAAAAAAAAAGAGCAATCAACTATTAAAACCTTGTATTTGTATGCAAGTGATAACCCAAGCCACGTTACCAGAGTAAATAAATATCACTAAACTACTCAATCCCTCAATCACAAACAAACAATGAAACAAAAATAAGAACAATAACAGTATTCATCTGTTTTTTATGAATATAAATTAAATTCCCTCCCCACACATTTTTCCTTCACTTAAATGTCTTATCACTGCTTTTTTTATTTTTTTTCCTTTTTGTCTTTGAAATTATGATTGGCATTGAACTCAGAGACCTCTAGTACCACTAAGCTAACATTTCAATGGTCATTTGCTGTTTTAAGATCTAGTATATTGAATTTAACTCAGTCATAGTAAAATGCAAATCTATACTAAACCAACAAAACAAAAGCAAAAGATGCAAAACTCTCAAATAAACCTATAAAGTATAAAGTAAATGTCTAAAAGTATTTCTAATATACGGGTATAGTGTATTTTGTAATCAAAATCAAGTAAGTGATCATATAATTAAATAGATTGATCAATAAATAGCATGATGATTTGTCTGCAGTACTTTCAATGCAAACCTCCCCCTTGAGAACCACTAACAGAGTCATCAAGATATGCATGAACTCTTGCTTTGCTTCCTCTTTGCTGAGGTCCTTGATTAAAAGAATTAGCTGCCGGCCTCAGAATTGGGTTTCTCTGCATCTCGTGTTTTGGTAAAAGAGTAGATGTTTGAGCAACAGCATCAAGACCGCTTTTTTGCAATATTACTGATCTCCCTTGCCCTTGCGGAACTGGATGGTAAGGACCAACTGGAATATAATTGCCTAGTCCTCGGTTTTCGATATTGTCAGCGCTTTGCCAAAATCCAGCGTAATTATTCATGTTTACATCTAATAATGAATTTGGGTTATTAGCATAACCAAAATTTGTAGCATTGATGCTGTTATTGGCAACAATTCCATCAGAATTCTGGTTGAACGCAATCAAACCAGACTTGGTCTGGTAAGGCATAACAATATTCTGCTGCGGAGTCTGCTGATTTTTCAACAATTCAAGCTCTCTCTCCAGCTTCCTGAAAAGCCCTAGAGGCCCTTGAACTGGATCTTCTTTCCATGCAAAAGCTTCCCATTCAAGGGACTCGACGGCCTTTTTCCTTTCTTGGAGACTAAGATTTTCGAAGATACCTATCATGTTTTTTACGCCAAAAATCTTGTGAACTTCTCGGAAATAATTTGTCCTACTTGCCGGGAAGTGGGGAGCAAAAACACAATCGCTCTCGCACTTTCTCCTTTGATGCTTGCAAGATGCGCATGCATGGCGAGAATTTAAGGCTTCTTCACTGTTTCCGACTGACATTATTCTTACTATGCACAAAGAATATTAGAAAGAAGAATAACAGGGTTGTTTGAGAGAATACTGGTTTTTTTTTTTTTTATTTGAAGGGCTTAAGTTAGGGTTTTATAAATTAGATTAAAGTTCAAAAACTCATTATTGCCCTTGAGGTTTTTTTTTTTTTGGAGATACTACATTGAGGTTTATTAGTACTTAAATTAAGCTGGTTTTAACTAATAAGAAGTATTATTGTAAATGGTGCAAATCCAAACCAAAAGAAAGAGTTTCAATGAAATTCAATAAACAATAAACTATAAATACCTAAGAAAATTGTTTGTTTTTATGGTTATAAAACAATATAAACATCACAAGAAATATTGTTTTACATCTTCAACTTAAACTCTTTCTAGCTTGTCTTATAATATATTGAGGGCCGGGAGATGCATAGTTTTGTTCTTCTTTTCGAGTCTGAACACAAATGCATGCCCTAGGCTCCCCCGTGACCTTCCCTTTGGTGAACAATTCGAACGTCCTCAATTTCAGGCTGTGGCGGCTGCCATTCCTTACTTGATCCTCACCGCATTTCCGATTAACCCAAGATGAATAAAGTTATGATGAGGACTTTCTGTTCCAAGAAAGGGCACTTTCCATTGGACTCGTATGAATGGATATCTCACTCCACTAGCTACCACTAGTTAGGCCATCTTTCAAGATTAAGCTAAAAGTGTTTATGAGATGTATTGGCCCGGTCCCATCTGGATCTAGATATTATATCTCCATTCAACAACATGTTTTTTCCTCAAATTTAGTTCTGCCCAATAATTTGGACCTTAAGACCAACTAATTTTTGTAAATGATACAGTCCAAAACCATCCAGGCCTGCCCAAATCATTTTTAAAAAATAAAAATAAAATAAAAAACACCTTATTTTTTATTTTAATAATTTTATTTTTCTTATTAAATTTTAAAACATTTATAATTTAAAATATTTTAAATATTATACCATAATATTATATATGTTTATTTTTTATATAGCATAAATGACATGGAATATATATAAATATAAAATAATATATGTTATATATATATGTGATAAAATAAATTAGATTAGATCGAGTTTGAATTTTATTTATTAAAATTTGAGTTCAACTTATTTTTTAATCGGATCTTATTTTTTATTTAAACATAATTAATGGATTTAATATTTTTATTTAAATTTATTTAAATATGGAGAAAATTTTTGAGCTTGGATTAGCAACACAATCTTTAAATATGTCTAAGATACAAATAAAGTTATCAGGACATTCTCTTCTAAGTTACGCCATTTCTTTAATGTATAATTCGCAAAGTTAGCTTGCTGTCAAGATGAGTATAAATGCCGTCAATATCACTAATTCATTTTTTTTGACTTCTAGGTTTGAAGTATCAAATCGGTGGGGGCAGAGGTAAGCTAATCTGAGGTCAGCCCATATAAGCACAAAGCACGAAATTATAATTATGGTGTCACGCAAATGACAATTTGTGAAGGATAGTACGACTTTTTGACTTATTATTTCATCATCATGGTGTTTTGGCTAATTAAGCAAACTCCTTTCTTATCAAATTATCATCATCATTAGTTCTATTCCCTCTCCCTTCCTCAACACTTAAACCAACTAACACCGGCACCAAACCCACTTTAGTCACCTATTTCTAGTCATGTCCTTGCACTTAAAGAAAAGAAAAGCCACCGTGCAATAATTCTATATTGAATCAGCTACAGCTAAAGTTGGGTGATGGGATTGTAGCAGGTTGTTAAAAGCCGGCCCTCAACTTCCATTTCTTCTCATGCTTCACAATCTCCCTCCATTTTCTTCTCATAGTTGATCGTAGTTTTTTATAACTATAGAAGTGGCGAACCAAATTAAGGGTCATTGAAGGAAGGTGCAAGCCGGGGGAGAGAAGGCCCTAGCAGAGAAAATGAGCACAGCAAGATTTATCAAGTGTGTCACTGTTGGGGATGGAGCGGTGGGAAAGACTTGCATGCTTATTTCATATACTAGCAACACTTTTCCAACGGTAATGATGGGAGATAATGGAATATATCATGGATGTGGGGGATTTGATCATGGTGATTATTATGACATCAAGAGAAAAGTAATAATAATTCAATTGCCTTTTTTTTTTTTGGATATAGGATTATGTTCCAACAGTATTTGACAACTTTAGTGCCAATGTGGTGGTGGATGGCAGCACAGTGAACCTTGGCCTATGGGACACTGCCGGTAAGTTCATGCGTCTGCAGCCTTATAATCCTAGCTTCCAGCATTTCTGTGAAATTACTGATCATTCAAATCAATGCTGTGACATCTCAGTGAATTTTTGAATTTCAGGACAGGAAGATTACAATAGGCTAAGACCTTTGAGTTATAGAGGAGCTGATGTGTTTTTGCTGGCCTTTTCCCTGATTAGCAAGGCCAGTTATGAAAATATCTACAAAAAGGTAATGTTTTTGCTGGCATGTCTATGTTCCTGTTTCCACTTTCCAGTTTTCTGTAATGTCTTTCTTTAATTTAACATCCTCAAGTTCATTAACTTTGACATAACTACTGAATTCGTGGCTAACAGTGGATCTCCGAGCTAAGACATTATGCTCCTAATGTGCCAATTGTGCTTGTTGGAACCAAACTAGGTAAGCTAATCCCATCATTAAAATCAGTACAAGCATAATTCAGACTGTCCCAAAGTTTTCAAAAGAACATAAAATTGCTCCATTTGCATTCTTAGGCACGTAACTCTGCATTTCAGGATATTTGATTACACAAACATCTTATTTCATTTTGGTTAGAATGTACATTTAGAGTAGTGCATCATTCTCTGTATTATTCAATTCTGTTTTACTTTTGACTCTAATCCAATGCAGATTTGCGAGATGACAAGCAGTTCTTGAGTGATCACCCAGGAGCAACAGCAATAACGACTTCTCAGGCAAGTTAACTATTAAAGCATCAAATATTAAGTAATTACGTTATTATGCATACCACAAATATACTTAAATATTTCTGAACTATCGCTGATATATAGTTTATTGTTTGGTTCAATGAAAACTTGGTGAGCAGGGAGAGGAACTAAAGAAAATGATAGGAGCTGTTACTTACATCGAATGCAGTTCCAAAACCCAACAGGTACCCTATTTCTATGCATCCTTTATCCTACAATACACCAAAATTTCCAAAATCATCTTAATCATTTTATATGTAAGTTTATAACAGAAATTTTGTGCTAGATCATCGACCATGAAAGAAATTTTATAGGTTGTATTAGAAGGAAGAATTGTCTTTTCCTACAAAATTTGTTCAAGGATAAGCACTATCTTAATAATAATTTCCTAATTAACTATGTAGAACTGCAAATATTTGAAAGCCTAACTTTCGTTTGTTCTGTTTCTTCAGAATGTGAAGGCTGTTTTTGATGCTGCAATAAAGGTAGCTTTGAGGCCACCAAAACCAAAGAGAAAGCCTTGTAAGAGAAGATCATGTGCTTTCCTTTGAATCTCAATCAGCATTACAGTCAAATACTTATTAAAAACTGTTTGCAGATAAATACTACTATCTGCTATACCTTTTATCATTATTTTTTGCATAAATTCCATGTGAAGGTATGAAAGATCTCTAAGAGCAGATTAGAGATCTCTTAAACGAGTCAAACTATATATAATGCTATCTATTATTGAACGAGTTCACTTTTTTTGCTGTGTAAGTTCTTTTTAATTATCCAACTTGTCATAGCTAGCTTTTCAAATGCCAGAGCCTCATTACAATTTTCTGGGTTACAATTTAGAACATTTGCTTGCTTTCACAGTGGAGTACTCCAACTGTGTTCAAGCGGTTGTTGGTCTGCCTGAACATTATTTCAGCTCCAATGATGCTGGAATGTTTTCCTAATTAAAAAACAATGACAATCAATGCTCAAGCTTGCTATTTGATAGCAAATTCTTTGTTTTTCTTCCGAGACATCTTTACGGATAATGTTACCTGGAAAGTGGAAACTATGTTATACTAATCAAGTTGATTAAAAGGTAAACCTTTGGTGTTCAACAAAACCATACCTAGCAATTTGAGTTTGGTTCAGATTAAAGAGTTTCAGATCCGCTTAACATGCTCCCTGAACCATGTGTTGTGCGCCTCCACCAATAAATATTTCCTCGGTCTAAAGTCCAAAAACATAGTATTATTTTCTTCTTCTCAGAATCCAAAACTGTTTGATCCTGTTAATTTCTTGTTTCAAGCTAATTAGTTGAACCAATTTATCAATGATCCAGTTGTAGACCCACAACCCTTTCCCCCAGATTGTCAAAAGGAAAAAGGCCAGAGGTTTAAGGTTCAGTCATTAGAACTAATCAAAGTCATAGTTCTTAAAAACCATTGCTATTGACTTTTTTCCCTATTCGTTTTTCCATAGAAAATGTTATGGAAATGTGATCAGTACAGAGGAAGTTGCCATGAACCAAAGTTCCGTATCATGTCCACAACAACAAAACGAGTTGAAAAATATATATTTTTCTGAAAAGGTGGGTTATAATTAATTCCTCTTTAAATTAACAGTTCTTTGGAAATCTTTTTACCATGTTCCCTTTTGTGAGACAAGTAGAAAAGATTCTCTATTCACTGCTAAGAATATATGTTAAGCACTAATAATAATTTTTAGCAAGTACTAAACATTACCTGTTCACTGCTAAGAATACAATATTCCAAATCTATTCCTTCATTTCAGTTTCAGACAGTCCAATAACATTACCCAGCTCAAATCCTCTCCCAATTTTCCTTGCCATAGGTAGATGAATTTATAAAAGCAGAATAAAAAAAAAATTTCAAGAATAGTGGAATATTGTATGATGGTTTGCATGTGCACCCAAATTTAGGCATTTAAGCTTAGCCATGTTGAGTATTTACTACAAGCACGTTTGCATTAAGTGACTGTTTCTCTTTAGCGCATTTCTAGCTAACACACACACATACCCATTTTCATGTTGCCTTTTCCTTTGCCTTTGATTGATTAAATACCAACAACATTTATTGTAATCATGTGCATTCAACTTCTTCTCTTTATTTATTTATTTAAAACTTTAACTGAAATTAATTTGTTCTGACTTTTGCTTCTTTGTTTATTGTGATGCTTTCATGTTGAAAGGGGTATCGGAAATAAATTACGGATTTTTTATAAATGAATTGAAATTAGCTTTTTATTAGTTATTACATTTTTTTATTCAATCATATGGGAATAATCTCACAATCTAATCAACTTTGGTGTATAATTAAAGTAATTAAATAAACTTGTGCTACACAAAGTTCATGAGTTAATCTAATTATTACATTTTCTTATAAGATGATTATGGGTTGACATTCGATTTTATTATCAAAACAATCTTATTTTATGAATAATTTATAAATTTAATGTAAATTCTTATTGAGACATGTAACATGATTTGGCTCGAAAGTAGACGATTTTTTTTTTCACCAAAACTTTTTTTTTCAAAAAAAAAGAGTTGTATCCCAAATATATATGGAAGAGTTTAATTCATTGCAAAATTTGTCATAGACAAATTGGTAGGAGCAGCAAAAGAGAAAGTGACACAGAAACAGAAATAAGTAACAGATAAATAGTAATGTACGGAATTGCAGCAGAGATCCCCCCACTCTCTCACAGTCCTGCAATGAGTAATGGGTATGGTTCACTTCCGCTAATCTCCCATTTGTTTTTTTTTTTTTTTTGGCCAACGCTAGAGTACCATTCTCTTTCGATCATCATAATTAACAAAGCCAAAGCCCTTTCACACGTTTGAAAAGGCAGCGACATAAAGGCCAAAGTGCCAAAAACCAAAACTTTCCCCAAGTACGGTACTGGTCTACTTTCTACTTCAGTTTGCTAAAGCTAAAAATCTTTGATGGGATCGTCTTCCGCACTTTCTGTAAACTTTGTTGTCTGTCTCCCCTAAACTGAGCGAAAGAAAGACTTACTATTATGCTATTCCAAACAGGCTATGGTCCCATATGTTCCTTGTGTCAGAGCTTGGGACTAGCGGATTTTATCTTCTACTACGCTTATACTGTTTCTATCTATAATTTTTACGTTTTTAATAAACAGTAATAGATGACAAAATAAAAGTTGAATTTGAGCTCTTAATTCGATTTATCAAATATTAGAATTTTAAAAAACTTCAATGTAAAATGATTTTAATTTAAAAAATTTAAATTTAAAATAATTAAATCTTTTATAGAATTAAAAAAATTTATAAATTTAATCTTGATTTTGATTTAAACTTAAAAAAATTCAAATTCAAAAAAATTTGGATGCATATATAGCATTGGTGTTTTTAATTTTTGGGAATCTAATGAATAATGGATTTGAAATCTGAACATTTGATTCAATAGTGTTAATTAGAGTAAATAATATATGTAATCCTTAAATTTTAGATTAAATTATGTTTTGATTTTTAAATTTTAAAAATTTTTAATTATCCAAACATGTATTAATATAATTTTTTTGTTTGCTAGACTAACTAAATTAATAGAAAATTTTATGTAGCATGATAAGTAATTTTTAAAAATTTAAATACTTGAAATTTTAAACTGACTTAAACATTCGTAATTAACAAATGTAAAATTAAAAATAAAATATATCTTAAGTCAACACTCTATTATAACTTTGGTTTTTTTCCTACTCTTTTTTCCCTTCCTTCTTCTTGGTCCCTTTTTTCTCCAAACAACCAAGAGATGGCTAATCACTTGGAAAGGTAGCAAATGGCCTTTCCACTACTTGCATAAAAAATTGGAGATCAGCAACAGCTCTATCTTAGCCAGATGAAGTGCAAGGGATCAACTTTAACACTGTTAAGGCTAATCCAATTCTTCTTCAATTGAGCTTCTACGATCTCTCTCCTCCGTCTTCTTCTTTATTCCCTTTAAAATTAAGAAGAAGAAAGCAATAGGAAATTGAGAGAAAAAAAATTGATGAAATTATTTTCATTTGTTTAAGATCTGGGTGATGGGTTAATAGCATTGGTTGATATTTAAGATGGCAAAGACAGCCTTTCGATTCCTATTTAATGGTGTCTTGTGTTGAAATTTTATGGGAATTTTTTATTACCTATAAAAAAATAAAATAAAGTTTTCTTGTCATATATGATTATAGGAAACTTGGATAATTTATCTTTCTTTTTAATCTAAAAAAAAATTGAATCCTATGAAGTGTTTGTGGTTATTTTGATTTGCAATTATTTTTATTAGTAAATGGATTGATACGAATTCATGCTAAATTCTTTCATGAATTAATGCATATATTAAGTTAGTTTATGTGTATTCAATTGATTAGTGAGAAGCAAATCTTTACTGAGTTAGTTTAATATTTTATCAATCTTAATAGAGTTATGTTTTGATTTAGGGTTTCTTTTATTTTTAATTCAATATTTTTTAATTACACATGTTTAAATCAACTTTAAAATTTCATGTATTTAAATTTTTAAAGATTACGTATTATGCCAAGTGAGATTTTTATTAATTTAGACGATCCAACAAACGAAATGACTATATTAATACACATTTAGATAATTAAAAATTTGATTAAAATTTTAAAAATTTAAGGATCAAAATAAAATTTGACCCAATAGTTGAGGACTACAAATGCTATTTACTCTATTAATTAAGTAATATTACTATGGTACACAAGTTGATAATTCCAAACACAAGGTCATTAATAACTTATAGCATTAAGAACTATGACATGAAATTTAGTAATGATAGCATGTTCCACAGAAGAGGTATTAATTCAATATTTTAAACTGATTAAGGAAAAAAAACTTGGAATTGTTTAAATTAAGAATATTAATAAATCTGTGATTAGATAACGTGGGATTCACTTAATATCTAGCAGAGACCTAATTTGGGCATGTATCAAATATTAAGTGCTTGGATCATGTGTCGAGGGTATCTGAACGATGTAGATGCTGCTTGCATCAGCTGTGGTTTAATATATACTTTAGCAGTGCCTGCACTGCACCGCATGGAAAAGAAACGGACGGGGAATCATGGAAGGAAAGGTTAATTTGGAGGAGATAAGGGTTGGACGACAAAGGGGAATTGAAAACTTGAGTTAGAGATGAGGTGGCACGCATCGAAGCTAGCTGCAAAGTTTTCACGTCGGAATGAGACCAACACCACGTAGACCCAAAGTCACCAAATAATTAATCCTCTTTAACGCTCTTTGCATGGGGAGAGGAGAGGATATTAGTTTTCTACTTTTCTTCGTTGCTTTGCTCATCTTTTCACCTGTGACAACTAATACAAATGGAGGGTGCTACATAAAGCCGCTTTCGTAGCCAAGAAAACAGGGTGGTCTGGTTCCTATCGTCCCACAAATTCCCTCAAATCTTACATAGAGAGGTATTCTTATTTTAATATAGCAAAAATTGTGTATTTTTAAAAAAATTTTCTTCACGTAATCTGATCAGACTAGTTTGTTCGGTTGCAAGATTTGACCTATAGTAATCCCCAACATGGCTTTTCTTGGAATGACAAATACTGCCGAAGATCACTTTGGAATAGTCGGTCGTTTAATTTTCAATGTAATTCTGTATGATTGATTATCATGTACATAAAGGTAATTACCGTAAATGTATATTCACGCAAAAAAAAAAAAAAGAAGAGTACGGTTGAAAATTGTGATTATCCATTTAACTCTTGCCGGGATTTTTCAATTGTATTTTTCTGATACAGTTTTATAATTTGTGAGAGAGAGAGAGAGAGAGAGAGAGAGAGATTAATTTGATTTGAACCTTTCAAAATACCACGACTTTGGAAAGACTTCCACGTACTTGTATACTTGTTTCCTGCTGCTTAAGAAAAACAAGAGAGTTCCGAGGATGACCATTGACCGCCATTACCAGCTTCATAACAACCATTCAAGGCCGCAAATTCCCATTCTTTCAGTACCAACACGACCCTATGTGAGCTCAAATGCAACATCCATTGCATAAGTGTACCATTGTTTTGCCCTGTTTACAGTGTAATTTGGAACTACTCAATTTAATTCACCATGAATGGACTCCGATTCAACATTGAATATTTCAAGAGGAAGAATATCCTAGATGTGAAAAGATTAATTTTGAGAAAGAAAAAAGGAAAAACTCTATATGCCAAAGTACAATAAATAAAGCCCTTGAGTCAATCCAAGGCCCCCCCTTTGCCCAAAATACCAGAAGTTTTGAAGTTGCAATTACTATCCCACCACTTGATTCCAATCAAAGCATCAAAACCCTACGTCCCCTTATTGACTTTCAAACACCTCTCCCCCCCCCCCCCCTATTTATTCTTTGCAACAACCTGGTCTATTAGAATAATCCAACACTTATATCTGCCCCTACACCCTTCCATTAATACACTACATGCTCTCTGTGGAGAACTGGAAAAGAAATACTACCATATGAAAAAGAAAAGAGAGACAAGCTGATCAGAACAACCCATTTCTCTAAAGCAAAAAAAAAAAAAAGAAGTCCTTTTCTTCTCTCTCCATTCTTTGGAGTTACAAACCTTACTTCACTTCTCTTTTGCATTAAGAGCTTTCTCCGTCACCTCTGATGAAAATTCTAATTAAACACAAGCATGTATTCTTATCCTTGTTTCCTTTGCTTGTAGTCCAGGGGAATTAGCTTGTACTTTGAGTAGAAAAGAAGTATTTCGGTTTTAATGTTAAATTGTAAGGAAGGGATGGGAGAATACTTTCAGTCTTCCCCTTTTCATTTATTTTGATTTCCTTTCTTGTTTATCTTTTAGCAGGGGATGCCTGTAGTGGGTTTTGCCTGTTATAAAGTTATTTATTAAAAAAATAAATTAAATGATTTTTATATTTTCTTTGGGAGATGGGAATGAGTGTTTATTTAATTGAGAGAAGGTAGGTGAGGAGGTTATAAGAAGAGAAGTTATGTTTGCCTAGTGCAAAGCATTACCAAAAACTAGAACAAGCAGAAGGGCAATTGTGTTTCTTGCTTCTCTTTTGTTTGGATACTTTAGATTAGATATCTAGCTTAAGATTTTAGCTATTATCACCAGCATCTTCATCATCACCATGGCTTCGTCAAACAGACACTGGCCTAGCATGTTCAAATCCAAGCCCTGCAACACTCACCACCAATGGCAGCATGACATCAACCCATCTCACATGTCAAGTGATTGCCACAAAGCCCCTTACACCTCAGGTAAATGAAACAATTTTCAGTAGCGATGAGAACCTTCATCCATGGTTTATTCCGTGTTCTTGTTCTCTTCTACACATTCAATAGTTGCCTGAACCATTTTCAAGCTTGAACAAGGGCCAGCTAAAGCCATTTAGCTTACCTGAAATCCTTCCTACTTTAGGCATCTCGGATTTTTGTCATTACCTACATAAATAAGTCGTCAGTTATCTCATTAATTTGCAACTTTCCACTGATAATCTTTTATAGTACTACTTGGTAATTTTATGTTGAATGACATGACCCTAATTAGGAAAGAGATGAATAATTATCTTATGTTATTTCAATTCTTTACAATTATGTGCTAACGTCTGCTGCAACGGTTGCAGTATGTGAAGAGCGTAGTCCTGAGCCTAAACCGAGATGGAACCCGAAACCTGAACAAATTCGTATACTGGAAGCTATTTTCAACTCTGGAATGGTTAACCCACCAAGGGATGAGATAAGGAAAATCAGAGCTCAATTGCAGGAGTATGGCCAAGTAGGCGATGCCAATGTGTTTTACTGGTTCCAAAACAGAAAATCAAGAAGCAAACACAAGCTGCGCAACCTTCAAAGCTCTAAACAACAGTCCCAGCAAAATCAACAAACCCACCAAACTCCTCCAATCACCAATATTACCACCATCACTGCACCTTGTTCTTCATCTTCCTCATCCGAGAAATCTTCACCAAAAGGAGCTAACAAGAGTACTCTCTCTTTGAGTTCTCCAAATGTCATCGATGTTTCCAACTCTCCGACTGCTTCTGTGAACCAGACCTACTTTCATCAACCTCAAAACGAATTCTTGAACGAGCCCTTTTTCTTTCCTGTCCAACAGACTGCTGCAGTAGCCGGATTTACACAAGGGTTTGGCTTCTCCGAGCTAACCAATGTGATTCAAGTCCCTGATCAACCAGTTGGACCCTGTACAAGTCTATTGTTGAGTGAGATATTGAGCCATGGGGCTTCAAGGAAAGAACATGAAGAAAACATGAAGATGCAGCTCCAGCTTAGTTACACTCTGACCAATGCTCCTAGTACTCAAAATATTATTCCTCCCACTGCTTCCACCAGTACTACAAGAACTGTTCCATCTAATAATCACCCCATTCAAGGTATAAATTTTCAATTTTCTTTATTTCTTTCACAATGAAGGATGTTAATATAAGATTTGTCTTTATTAATAGACACCAATATTTGATGGGCCGGTTCATTTATGCACACGAGGGGAGAATATTTGGGTCATATGTGGTAAAGAACGGGGATAAAATTGTCATTTAGGAGCAGGATTTGCGATCATTATCTTTAGATGGACGTGTGCATGGGTTGTTCTCTCTGAAATTGACTACTGCGGTTGGTTTTATATATACTTAAATGTTGATTGTTGAGTCATGATTCTCTGCATGTTGGCAGTTGTTGGGGAACCGGGTGCAGTGGAACCTGCAAGTGCGGCTAAATCGACGGTGTTTATCAATGATGTAGCTTTTGAAGTGGCTGTGGGGCCCTTCAACGTGAGGGAGGCTTTTGGTGATGATGCAATCTTGATCAACTCCGCTGGTCAACCTGTTCTCACGAACGAGTGGGGGTTAACGCTTCAGTCTCTTCAACATGGTGGATTTTACTATCTGGTCCGCTCGTTTAGCCCCTTCTCCCTATAATGAAGGTGACAAACTTTGAAAATAAAAAACTCCCCTTAAAATTTGTTTACTGTCATAAAATATACATAGTAGTATGTAATGTGCATGACAGCTTATTATACGAAGAAGCTGAAGGGCCTTTCCTGGTGTAAAACCTGGAAGTTTTTGCTTACCAATTAAGTTTGTTGATTAGTTTATGTTTTTTTCTTTTTCTTTTTTTCCTTGAATTGCAGGTTTAGAAATATGTGGAAATGGATGACATAGTTTGGCTGACACTGTTCCTTCTCTTTCTTGCTCGTTTCACTCTGATCTCAAGGTTGAGATTTAGCTTTAGGTATAGTCCTTAGGGCTCTATATATTATATATGGATGCATTTGGAATAGTATGAAAAAACTGTGGACCAATGTAATCTCTAATTTTTTGTTAAGGCAATATATATGGAATATGCAACTAGTATTTTACTTTTAATATGCATGAAATTATAACCGTAGAAGCTGTTAAACCCTACTATATAGCTAATAAGTAATATAATTTCATGATGATCATTTCTTTGCTATAAAGGTTGCTAAAACCCATTATTTTAATAGTGACTCAAGGAATATTTGCAGGTTGATTATAATGTTTTCATTCCCTATATTTAGGGTTTAGTACTTTTCCAAGATAAAATGAATGGATGTCTTTTTTTTTTTTTTTTGGTGCAATTGGCAAATTAAACAGAAAGATTTTATATCAAAACCTATTACTACAACGTGGGGCATGTCATAGCAGCCAAACATTGATATGAACCTCCTAATTGTTTTGCTTGGAAGTAATCTCATCACTGAGCAATTAAAGTTCGTAACCACCCAATTAACATAGGGTAATTACCTCCTCGATGGCCATGAACAAATTTGAAAGCCGCTTTGACTTTCTTAATTTCTATACCATTCAGCAAGCCAAAAAAAAAAAAAAACCTTAACTTCCAGTTTTGTCAAGCATATCAATGCAAGGCAGCTGTAGTTCATGCATGCACGACTCAGTGCTATATATTATTATTGAAAATAATTAATTATTGAGCAACCAAGTTTATTAATTATAAAGGGAGCGCATCGAGATTTTTTATATATTTAAAGTTATTAAAAATTAAATTATTTAAAAATTCATCATTCTATTAAACATGACAAGTAATCATTGATAATCGAATTTAATATAAAGACGGTTTAAAAATTTGCACTGTAAACCCTATGAAAATTCTGTATATATAGATCAGAGAAAAAGATGATAAATAATCAAATACTATGTTCTGTTGGCTTTTAAATTTGTCTTTACTTATTTTACACGATAAATTTTGGAAAGAGTTTCCATTTGGTCCATCTGTAACTCGGAAATAGGGTTTTACTTAGGATTCACCCAACGTCAAACAACCTATTCAAAGCCAATCTGTTATGTTAGAGCGACCAAATACTTATTGTTTCAAACCATTTTCTCTGAAAGATTGAAACCCTGACACCCAACAAGGGTTGGTTGGTCTGTAATAATTTCCTGTTGTTTTTCATATTTTAACAATGAGCTAGCTATGATCAGATGACTGGTTAAAGGAGGGTGTCATTTTTGGTGCTGAGTGGTGCAGATTTTTGACGTGCACTCTGGTGAGAACAGTGCTAACCCCACCCTTCAGCCCTCACCCTTTCGATTTGACAAAGCGAGTTGCATCTATCAAAAAAGAAATTGCTCCCCCTTTTCTAGCTCCTAAAATTCCCCCACTATACGTCACATTTCGTAAAAATCACTGTGTTTTTTTAGTATGAACCATCACCAATGATAATCATGACAAACTTGGATTCCAAAGTGAATGGAGAAAGAAGCAATGGCTGTACAAAGTCAAGAACTTGAGCCCCTCCCCCCCCCCCCCCCTTCTTTTTCTTTGCTGGTGGCAGCTTGGGGAGGGTTCCAGTCTTCCAGAGGCTGAGAAATGGGAGATCTATCATTACAAGACACGTGGCGTAAGCAGATTGGTCAGGTTAATCTTTACATACCCACCCGTGGGAATTAGGTGTTTCAATAGTAGGTTTGATTGGATTGTTCTGGTCTTTCTGCACAGGACTTTTGTCCAAGTATGCTGCAAATTGTAAACAAAACAAACATTGGTAGGCTGCTGCTATGCTAAGCTATGCAGGCTATTCATCCGCCATGAAAAGCACGTAATGGGGCACAATGCATAACATTTCTGCTTGCATGACAAGACAAAGATTACATTACATTTTTCTTTTCAATCATGAAAGCTTTTTCTCTGTTCAAGTCTTCCAGATGATGTAGACAAGTTATTGGTCAGAAACAGAAATAAATTTTCATTTTTTCTAGGATATTTAATAATTAGGTTATCAATGTATTCTGATTTGTGGGTTAAGAAGAAAGTTGGAAATGAGTTTCTTTTTCCACTAAATGTTTAGGTTGAGAAGAAAACTGTCTGATTCCGATGGTTGCGTTGGGCTCTGAGTCCATTGATCCGATATTTCCCTAAGTTTTTCAACATGGAATGGCCCGGTTTGATTCTAGCTATGGGCTACTCCGGTTGTGGCTCATTAGGCGGAACATGCGACATTGCTGACCAACCCAATTTTCTATGTCCGTACTCCTTTTATGTTTCTTTGATTAGAAGTATAAAATATAAATCATTTTCTTTCTTGAATTCTTTAAGATGTTCTTTCTTTCACGTTACAAACTCTGAGACACTAATATTGATTTAAACTAAGACATAATATTTGATATAACGCAAATTTAAAATTTTAATTATATAAACGAAATTAATAAGATGATATTTGTTTTATTTAATTTTTAAATATCTTATAAAAAATATATATATCATTTTATTAATTTTATTTATGTAATTAAAAATTTATATTAATAATATATCTAATACTAATTTTTAAATTAAAATTTATTTTATTTTAATTGGTGTTACTAAAACATTTATTAAACAATTTATGTTCGTGAGAAAGAAAAAAAAAACTCATGACATTAGTAGGTATGTTTCCTAGATTTAGTATAATTAATGATGATTGATTATGCCACTAAAGTTGGAAATTAATTTGTTTCTTTTCCTTTTTCCCATACCTTCCTCTTTCATGATTTTAGGCAAAGGCTGTTAGTCGTAACAAAAATATCTAAAACGTAAGAAACCAACTACTTGTTTTTTATGTATTACATGTTTCGTTTAAATTGATGATAGGATAGATTTTTACCGTATCGACTGTCATTTTTACCATTAAATTGTTTAATAATAAAACGACATTTTTAATACCGTAACAATCCGGCCACCATCCGAAGCAGATGTCATTCCAATTTTTTTAAAAAATTTATATCCTTTTCATAGTCCCACGTTTAACAATTCTATGTACATTAACGACCGATGGAAAAGTATTTGATAAAGAAATTTGTTATTTGATGGAGAAAAGCATGAATGACAACGAATGTTTCAATTTAATTGAATTTTAAATAGTCAAAAAAAAATTCCTTTGATCTAATCAAAATTTGTGTCCTTAGATCCACATATCATATATATCTCTAGAACAAGAAGAAAAAAAAAAAAAGACAAGATTCAACATGTAGTTTAATAATGTACACTTCTTTTTTACCCGTGGTAAAAAAAAAAAAATCAAATCTAGTTTTTTCAATCAAACAAAAGGGTAAAAAAAGTTGTAAGAAAAAGGTTGGAGGGGTAAAAAGTAACAGAAATTGGAATCTGCAAAATCTGGTGAAAAGAGGTTAATTTTGGGTTAATCCACCACCAGACATTATAATCATAGTCATTTGCCTACTAAAGATTTCAAGCTTTTTTTTTTCTTCACACCTTCCCAAACCCAGAACCAAAAAAAAAAAAAAAAAAAAGCTAACCTTAACAATTTACAAACCCAAAATAACAAGAAAAAAAAAACGCGTTTTTTTTTTTTTTGGTTTTTATTTTCCTTTTTAAATATTTTTGACCCCAATTCAAAGACAACATTGGACGACAAAGAAGAGGGAACAAGAGCAAGAAGAGAAAGAGAAAGAGAAAGAATAAAAAAAACATAAGAGAGAAATGGGAGCTTACAGGGCGGATGATGACTACGATTACTTGTTTAAGGTTGTCCTGATCGGTGACTCTGGTGTTGGAAAATCCAACCTTTTGTCTAGATTTACAAGAAACGAGTTTAGCCTTGAATCTAAGTCTACTATTGGGGTTGAGTTTGCCACCCGTAGCATTCATGTTGACGATAAAGTTGTTAAAGCTCAGATTTGGGACACTGCTGGACAAGAAAGGTATTCATCTCTTGCCATTCCTTTTTGGGTGCAGATCTTGATTTGGGTTTCCTTATTTACGCTTTGTTTTTGCTTGATTTGAGGGTTTGGATCTTTTTTTTGGTGTTCTCTGAATGTTGGGATCTTGCAAAATGGGAAATTAGTGATATTTAGTTCCTGCAAGTGAATAAATTGTATCATGTTTTTGGTTAATTCAACACATATGGGATTTCAATTGGAAATAAGAGATTGCCTTGTTAAACGAAATTGCTTGCTTGGCTATTAATTCTTGTCATGGTACTGAATATTGATGGAATAGAACATGACTAGCCTGATATTTTTTATAGAGTTGTGGATTATAATGTCTGAATCACCCACAATTGGAAACTGGACTTTCTGTTGTAATTCGGTTCCTTGCTCTGTGTTGTGTATTGGTAGCCACTTTTTTGTTCCATCGCTGGAGTGATTACATTGCTAAATTGGTATTAAAATTTTATGTCAATGTGGCTTATACCGCATATTCTTGTAGATCACCATGCAAGAAGCTTTCTTCTTCTTTTTTCTTTCGCTTTGTTGACTGTTTGTTGTTTAGGCAGTTCTGTAAGCTGTTACTGCTATTGGGGTAAGTGTGCTTTAATCAGCTGTCTTTACTCTTGAAACTTACTTACAATACAAGCGTTGGAGAGTGACCTTTAATCCTGGCTTACCAAAGAAACGCTTTAAAGAAGACGGAAAAGATTGCATTTTTATATAATTCCCTGCAGTATGATATGATATGACTTGTTTGTCTTTTCTGGATCACCCTTTTACAAATATCTTGATTTTTTTTTTGTTCTGAATTTGGTGCAAATCATGAAGCATTAGGAATGTTCATCTAATCTTTCTGTCTACTCTCTTTTGCCAAAGATATCGTGCAATAACCAGTGCATATTACCGTGGTGCTGTTGGTGCTTTATTAGTCTACGATGTCACCCGTCATGTTACATTTGAAAATGTAGAAAGGTGGTTGAAGGAACTTAGAGATCACACTGATGCCAACATTGTGATTATGCTAGTTGGGAACAAGGCAGACCTGCGTCACTTGCGAGCAGTTGCCACCGAAGATGCCAAAGCTTTTGCCGAACGAGAGAACACCTTTTTCATGGAAACATCTGCACTAGAGTCTCTGAATGTTGAGAATGCCTTTACAGAAGTGCTGACCCAGATTTATCGTGTTGTAAGCAGGAAAGCTCTTGATATCGGAGATGACCCAGCAGCTTTACCCAAAGGCCAGACGATCAATGTTGGATCAAAAGACGATGTATCAGCCGTGAAGAAAGTTGGATGTTGCTCAGTTTAAGCACGTAGAAGAAGTCTTAGAGATATTTATCTTTGAAATCTTATGCCTTTGTTCACATCTACATAGAAGTTTTTCCTGACAGCAAAAAAAGGCGAACATCAACAATGTATTAACCAGTTGACATTGTGCTTTGCATCATGCTAAACACCAGTCGTCTATGTTATCTTCAACTCTAGGACTTAAGATTAATGGTTTACGTTGCTTTTCTTTGTTAAGCTCAAACATTTTACTTTTGATTCCTTCTTTGTTCATTGCTTTAACCGCTAAACCATCTTTAATTATGTATGGTTCAATTCGTTTTGAATCATTGCCTGACGATTGGCTTTTGATGGAACGCCTAAATAATATGCTTTGAGCATGTGATGCAGGAGGTAAATCGTATATGATATGGCATCTTGTTTGGTCTGCAGATGCCAGATTGACAATTAGTCTTATACATTTTCGTAAAAGATTAAAACTACTCTCTTTTTCGACATTGATGGGTGCTTATATGATGACTCCGATCATCTTATTTGCCATAGTTTCACAAGAAATGAATTGGTTTGATCTCCTGGTTTAGCCGAACATAGCTGTGTACTGTGAAGATTTGCTTGCAAGGCGTATCCCTCTGAGGAAGAACGCTGTTTTGAAGACTTGGAATGAAGTTTGGTTAATATCTTTTGTTTTTCAACAAGGAAGCTGGTAAAATCGTTTTTTCTGCAGAAATTAAACAGATGAACCACCCTTTTCTCTGCGTAGTTGATCCTTTTCTTTCTTAAAAGGAATGAAGACATAGAAACCATGAAAATAAAAACTTAAAAACCGCGAGGTTGGCAGGCTGCAACAGATAAATACCTGAAGAAAAATTTACACCATACTCTGTAAGAAGATAAGAGCATCTGTGAACAAGACAAGCAGCTTAAATAAAAAGTTCTAAAGACTCCATTTTCATTAAGATCCCGTCACACTTGGCACAAAATTGAAGCAAAAACTATGATGCAGTATACACCACAATCCCCTCCAATTTCAGTTGTCATAACAGCAGTTTCGGCGGCTTTTCTTCCTGATCAACATGGCCTCTCCAAAAGTTAAGTTCATTCTGGATCAACAGTGGAAAAACGAAGCATATCCACCGTCTAGAAAAAAAAAAAGTTGGCAAAATTCAGAACAATGAACAATTATAGTACGGATAAGACAAGTAAAATGCATGTCCGTTGAGCAAAGTCAACTAGCATATTCTTGTTTTGCTGCACCTCCCAAAATTGTGCTCTTGACCAATTGTACTACTTCCAAATTTAAGTGGATTATAACTATGAAATTAAAAAAAATATACAAATAACATCGTAGGAAAACATGAGGTGGAAGAATTGAGCATATACCACTATCAGAAAGACAGCCAGCTGAAATTTTTTGAAAGCTTGTGAGTTAGAGCACTGCATCCTTGAAATCTAAAATGCTATTTCTTATTAATAAATAAAATAAAAAGGAATTCTCTAATTTGGTTTACATTCTAATTCCAATTCAAATACTAAAAAGAAAAAATTCAGTATCCCATGAGTGTGAACAAATCAATCATATTCAGAGCTCAAAAAAAAAAAAAAACAGATACAGAACCAAAACTAGAGAAGAAACCTAATTCAAGCGCCGCAATTATCAAGTCAAACACCCAACAAAGAATGGCACAAGAAAAAGTAAATACTACTAACCAGAAGATTGATGAAGCGTCGAAGATCACTTTGTATTATCATTTTTATCAGAATCAGACTTGAAAGAGGGAAGAGGATTAGAGCCTTTGATGATCCAACCAAGGGCAAAAAACGAAACCCCAGCCAGAATTGCCGTGCCCCAGGCGTGAGAGTACCATTTACTGTACTGTCTGATGGCATACCTCCATTGATCTCTCAGAGTTGAGGGGTCCGGGTTTGTTAGGTCGGGTGGGTTAGGGTAACGAACCTTTTGATGGCCCGAGAAATCAGAAGCCATGCTTTTACCGATTTCGGGGATTGATTTAGAAGAAGAAGAAGAAGAAGAAGGATGGGGAGGCGGGTTTTGAGGGGATTCGGGCTTCCTGTGTTCTGACATGATTATCACTTGGGGCAGCTGAACTTCGACTTTGAGAGCAGATCTTTGTTTGAAAGCAAACAAGGACTAGAGAGACTGAAGCGTTACATATCACTTCGACGTTTTTAGTGCCAGCTGTGTCGTTGAGCACACGTGGCAATTAAGCAGATTATTTGCCTCTTATCTTTTTTCTTTTTTTGTACGGCTCTTATCAATTGTCCAGTAATAGTAGCTGTTAATATTTTGGTGATTTTCATTGTCAGCTCGACCAGAGGAAATGCACGATCGTTTTTTTTTTTTCTTTAATATACTCAACGCTGTCTCTGCTTAGCTTTGGGATCGAGCCTTGGCCCTAGAGGCCCTCATTTTTTTTTGCTTCTCAAAATAGAAAGAGCATTCCCTGCCTTTTACTCAATTGCCCGAGTGTCTACTTCGACAATGAATCCTTGGTTATTAAACTAACAATGATTCCATCACAGCCAGTAAAATTTGCGGTCCATAATAAAATCTATTTACTTGAAAAACCACAACAGAATTGTCAATTTATGTGACACCAAATGGAATCTATCGTCTAAATTATATATATGTCTGTGTAGTGAGCAACACTTTTAAGAAAAAATATGTTGAATATAAACTTCAGGTCGCACATGAACACTTGTTGTACGTGAAGTTTTGTAGGAAAGTCATTTACGAGCTTCTACCTTCTTCTGCTCCTTGGCTGAAACAATTAAATATGAATGTTCATCAATTTCAAAAATGTTTGATACCAGAACACAAGAAATAATCGTGGTGGCTCTAGAGTCTTACCAGCCTTTTCCTCTTCTCGTTTTCTGGCAGCTTCTTCTCTCTGTTGACGTATAAGGGCTAGGCGGTCTGTATCACAATAAATCTCCAAATGAGTCTTTTTCTTTCTTTTGTTTTTCCTTTCAAGGAAAAATGGCAGTACAGCATAATCCCACAGTAAAGAACGTTGTAACAATCACACAAAGCATAACCAACTAGACTGAATTATGAAAATTTTCAACTAAACAGAAGTGATTAGATATATACGCCATTTTCTCTGTAAGTTAGGACGTGGGAAGCAATTTGGCACAATTAAGATTTTAAAAGCACTCAGCTTGTTCATCCTCCCACAGGCAAATATATCTCCACAGTTTAATGTACAAAAACTGCAGCCTCTTTAAGTAGTATTTCAAGTGTTTAACCTACAGAATTCAAATCCTCGAACATCTAACCAAGATAACTTACGTTCAAAGTAGGTAGGGGCAAGGGTTGATTATATAAGTAATTTGAAGTATGCGTGGCTATAGTTATTATCTCAAATGATCAAAATAGTAAGGAATCAGAAGTTAGATCTGCTGCTTAGCCCATCTTCATTAACTTGATAGGAGGAGTAAGTCACGTGACAAGGGTAAGTTAAAGCAATATCTGTTTGGCTTACCCAAATCTTTCCTTGCTTGTTCTGTTTTCCCCTGCTCTTGCAGCCTCATATAACGTTCATGGGCTCTCTGCTTTTCTAATTCCTCCCTATAAACAAATAGAAAAAGATATAAGATGGAGCATTCACACAAGAAAAATATAAAAACATTAAAAAAGTTATAGCTCAAGACAGAAGAATAGACCCAGAAATAAACCATGTGAAAGCCAGAAAATAAACTGAGTTAAAAGCATCCAAAGCAGAATTTAGAAGGAAAAGTAACAAGCAATACAAACCTTTCACGCCTCGAAAGTTCAGTAGTTTTCCCAGTCTGTACATGAGAGAACAAAATCAAAACATAAATAAAACAAAAGTTATACTAACAAACCATCACTGAAACAATTTATAAGGGAGATTTCATGAAACTTACATCAACATCTCTAGCTTTCAAGTTCTTTGGCTTCACCAGATTAGGATTGTTGACCTCAATAACACCTTGAGTTCCCTTGCGCTTTTGCTATTGGTTTGCAATAAGTAGTTCATATTCCGTAGTCATCACAAAAATAATGAAACCCATATCCAAAAAAAAAAAAAAAAAGACAGAAAAAACCCAGTCATGGTAAACTTAAACTTACTTCAGTTTCATCGTCAGATTCTTCTCCAGACTCCTGTCCAGATTCCTCCTCAGATTCTTCTTGCTCTTTGTATTCTGCTTCTTGCTAACAACGTTAAAGAGTAAAGAGTGAGTTCTTATAGTTTTAAAAAACACATGATTATAGAACATGTGCGTGAGGGCGTCCGCAAGAGAGAGAGTACCCGCTTAAAAGTGCGAGGACGAGAAGAGGTACCAGCAACTGCAAAAACATAAAATCAGAAACAAAACCAAACCAAAACACGGTTTCATTCAGGCAGATTGATTTAAGAAGAAAGAGCATCAGTTAACCGTAACCCTAAACCTAACTCAGACAATGTCCTTCATCATCGCAATCTTACTAGCAAGAATTAACCTAAATTTTACTCTAAGCAGATAATATTAAATTGAAATAAAAATCTAACTTTTTTAAGCATAGTTTTTGGAATTTTATATATTCAATAAACAACAGAAATAAAAAAAAAAAAAAAAACTCAACCTGATCAAAATTTCACAAACTGAATTAACAAATTTGCGGTTTCAACTATCTTTGTCAATCATAAAATTAACGACGTAAATACTTTGATAATTTCCAATAAAATCATTAAAAAGATCTGAAATTTTTACTTTTACTCGAATTTTCTAGGGAAAATTAAACGAAACAAACAAAAAAATTGAAAAAACATTAGAAGAAGAAATCTTACGCATCTCTTCAGGAGTAGAAAAGTGGCGTTGACCGGTGGGCTTTGCCTTGAATTTTCCTCTTCCCATTGTTAATTACAGAGACAAAACGAAATAGCCGAACGAACCCGAACGGGGGCTTTTCTAATCTTTAGGATGATTTTTCCAAGAGGAAAAATAAATATACAAAAATTCAGGGTTATTGCTTTCGTTTGGCTTATTCGAAGTGCCGGAGTGCGGTGGTTTTAGTGGCGTGGGGTTTTCTTCTGTGCGACTGATTGTATGGGAACCCTTTTTTCTTTTTTGTCGGTTATGCGAATCTGAGGCGTTTATATAGCTGAGAGAATGATCTGGCAGTGTACGTCGACTTGATACGTAGTGGGCTCTACTTATCTCTTTCAAAAGTATAATACTTTCTTTCATATCAAACAGGTGTCCAGGCTAAAATACTAAAAAAATCTTTCAATTATTTTATTTTAAAATAATTTTATATATTTACAAATAAACATTTATCGATCGATTTTATGTTCAAATGTGTTTTTATTTCAAATTAAAGATTAATTTTATGTTAACAGTTTATTAAAATTTAAATTTAAATTTTTTAAATATAATAAAAATATAAATATTTATAAAAAAAAGATAAAATTTAATTATTTAAAAACTCATTTGAGTCTTATTAAATAATTAAACTATGAATACATCATGTTTACAATATAGAAAACAAATTTTCAATTTTCCTTGCAACATATTTGATAGGAGGAAAAGAAACATTAAATTACAGCTAGGAACTTGGATAAGAAAATGAAAGAAATACTCATAGTAGGGCATGCAGCATCTCAACAAAACCATCCATGTAAGAGTTTTCAAGGCCTGGTTCTGAAAGGAACTCTTTCCACTTAGCATGGTTGGTCCTTGCCTCTTTCCCCAACTCACTATCATCATCCATTACAGCCTTCACTGCCTTGCAAACACCATCCTTTGTAAAAAGTCCATCTTCATCTTTCTCGACTTCTACTCCAATTTTCAAGTGTCCTGCCATCATTCTTGCATTAATTATCTGGTCTCCAACGTTAGGTAACAGCACCAACTGACAATCACTCATCATAGCCTCAGCCAAAGAACCAGAGCCACAGTGAGTCACGAAACACCCTAAAGAAGGATGCCTCAAGATCAGTTGTTGCGGCACCCAACCTCCATGAACTATTCCTCTTCCTTCTACTCGCTCCTGGAATCCTTCTGGCAATGCTGACTCAATTGTTTCAGCTCCCATTGGTGGTTTGAGGGCAACCAAGAATGGCAAACCTGTAAGCTCAAGGCCTAAAACCAATTCCTGGAACTGATCTTTTTTGAGAACAAACTCACTCCCAAAGGCACAGAATATCATGGTCTTAGCTTGAAAGCGGTTTAATAACTTTTCCCATCGTTCTTCTAACGCAATTTTTGGTGGCTCTGGCACTACTGGTCCAGCAAAAATCACTGGTTTTTCAAACAGGTTTCCAATATATTCACAGTAAGGCCCTTCAATCTCCCTACATGTCTTGAAACCAATAGCATCACAGTCACTTAAAGACCTTAGCTGACGCTCTACAAATGAAATTCCACTTCCATAATCCATTGTTGTTACAGCAGCTAATCCTCGAGCTTCATGGGTGCGTAGCTTGATACTTGAAGAAGGGAAACCTTCAGGAGGCTCCAGGAGATCAGACCCTGTCAAACCTTTCTCAAGAGTCTTTCTTGCTGGACTAAGAAGATAGCCAATAGTTGCAGAGCTAATGATACAATACAGCACGGACTTGATGCCAAGCCTGCGAGTCAAGGCTGGCAACCAGCAAGTGAAATCAAAGAAAACGAAATGGGGTTTTAGTTCTCGGAGGGAAGCTTCAATATCAGGTTCTGTGAGGTCCATGGCGGTCATAATGAGAGGATGCAAAGGGAAAGGAACATCGTTTGTTGTTTCAGCGCCAAGAGGCAGACCTTCAACATGTGGAACAGTGATTGGAATGAAGGTTATGAGATTCGGGTGGAGATTGAAAGCCTCAACCTTGCACTGTGTTTTGGCCGGCAAGAAGTAGGAAATTTTGTGGCCTCTCTCCGCTAGTTTGTTGGCCATATGGACAAATGCAGTAATATGGCCAAGGGCAAACCATGGATACATTGCAATGTGAAAGGTTTTGTCTGCCATTGTTGGTGTTGTGATAAATTGGTCCAAAATTCCTAATCAGCTAATCGGAAAACAACTCGTGTCCCTCAAATGCAATCACTGCATTGCTTATATACAATGCCTGGAAAGTTATGGTGCCTTCTGTTTCAAAAATATGCCTGGTTTCTTTGTTTCCGGTTTCTCGCAAAACAGAAAACTAGTACTCAAACTTCTGTTTGGTGACTAATGCTGAAGGACTTTTTTAGAAAACGAAAACCAAAATATGCCACATTTGGAGAACCAAATATTTTTCATGCTGTCAACGAAAATATTCCCTTTTGCTTTTACTTCAAAAAAAGAATTGTCAAAGTTATTGCCCCAACCAACTTTTTGGCCTTGATAAGTACTCTACATAAAAGGATGATTTCGCTATTTTAATCCTAATCGGCATCAAACAGGAACAGTGTCATGAGCCAACCTTGTATAAGGCCATGATCGGGACTTAGGTTGCCATGAGCCACCCATGTATAGAGCCATGGCCGGGTAGACCCCTTGTGTTAGGAAAAGTGTCCCCATTTCAAACATTGTAACGGTTACTGGTAGCATAGCTCTAAAATCTCTAAGGCTCTTTAAAGGGGGTGAGCCGGCAAGGTATTGTTGGGCTGTCTCACCGGGTGCTATGCGAGCTTAGGCCACCCACCATGGGCTGCCCCCTGGCCCTGGTGATGGTGGGAGGTCCCGATGTATGATTCCCGATTTTAATGAAATTCGCCTCGATTGAATGCCCGATTGTTGCCTCGATGTGTTTCTTTTCTTTCTCAATGTGAATGTGCCTTGTTATGTGTATGGATGAGATTGATATTGATATATTGTGCCTTATTGTGAATGCTTGAGACTAACCATGGTTTATGGTTATTTGTTCAGATCTCGATCTATTGAGGGCTGACTTGGGTGGAAGCGTCCATTCAAGTGCCTCGCGGGCTAGTGCTTGTTGAAAGAAAGCTTAGTCCGTGACACGTGGTATCAGAGCACGGTTGAGAAGTGCTAGAGAAATGGATGAGATGGCCACAAGTGGTGGATCGGATCATCAGCAGAGAATTGAGGAACTTGAGGCCGCGGTGGCCGCAATGAAAACTCATATGGTAACAAAAGATCGAGTGAGGGAGATCGAGACAACCCAGCGGGAGTTGTCCGATACTCTCCACAATGTGAGCGAAGAGGCTAGAGATGTCTTGAACATTCTCCACAAGGAGTTTGAGGAGCTCAGGGCCCAGATGAGCATCCTACAAATGGCGGTGGCCAGTTCGGGTTCAAGCTCGACGGACAGGGGACAAAGACCCAAAGTGCCGGAGCCTCGGTGCTATGAGGGGGCAAGGGATGCTAAGGAACTTGAGAATTTCCTGTTCGACATGGAACAATACTTCCGAGCTGTACACACAAGTTCAGAGGAAGACAAGGTGACAATGGCATCGATGTATCTCGTAGGGGATGCCAAGTTGTGGTGGCGCTCCAAGTTTGTCGATGACGAGTGCCCGATTAAGACCTGGACGGATCTGAAGCGTGAACTGAAAAACCAGTTTTTTCCGGAGAATGTGGATTATATGGCTCGAAGGAGACTTCGAGAGTTGGTGCAAACCGGAACGGTGCGAGAGTTCGTGAGGAACTTTTCTACCCTGATGCTGGATATTAGGGACATGTCCGAAAAGGACAAGTTATTCCATTTTATTGAGGGCCTCAAGCCGTGGGCGAGGACAGAGCTACAGAGGCAAAGAGTGCAAGATGTGACGACGGCCATGGCTGCAGCGGAACGTCTTCATGATTTTAATGATGGTTCGTTAAAACGGAAGAACCCTCCACCAACTGGCAGTAGCTCTAATCTTGGGAGTGGGGGAAAGATAACTAGGTTGGATCGACCCTTCAGTTGGGGATCAGACAGGAGATCCTTTGGGCGAGATAGCACCCAGCCTAGGACAAACAACGCAGGGATTTTCAAGCCTAGGCAACCGCTTGCTTGCTTTCTTTGCAAGGGGCCGCATCGAGTGGCTGAGTGCCCGCACCGAGGAGCCCTTAATGCCTTAAGGACCTCATCCCAAGAGTCTGCAAAAGCACCCGAGAGCGTTGAAGAAGCTGAAGAGGAGCCAGCCAGGATGGGCTCAATAAGGTTCCTCAGTGCCCTTCACACCCAATTGAACACTATAAAGAAAGAACAAAGCAGAGGCTTGATGTACGTGAACTTGACGATCAATGGGAAAGCCACCAAGGCCATGGTGGATACAGATGCAACCGACACTTTCATCACACCAGAAGAAGCAAAAAGGTGTGGTCTTCAGATTAGTAAAGACTGTGGGTGAATGAAGGCGGTCAATTCGCCAGCCTTTGCAATCAGTGGAAGCTCGAAAAGTGTGACAACCCAATTGGGGCCATGGAAAGGGAAGGTAGACTTCACAGTCTCCCCCATGGATGACTTTGATGTCGTTCTAGGATTGGACTTCATGACGTTGGCTCAGGTGATCCCTATCCCCGCTGCTAGCTGCTTGTTGTTCTTAGGAGAACACCCATGTGTGGTGCCAGCCAATATCTTGCCAAAGAGTGGGAAGAAAATGATTTCGGCTTTGCAATTCAAGAAAGGGGTAAAGAGAGGGGAACCCTCTTTTGTGGCCATGCCGATCTACAAAGAAGGGTCAAAAGTAGAACCAATACCCAATGGCGTGAAGAAAGTGTTAGAAGAATTCAGAGAGGTGATGCCAGAGATGTTGCCCAGGGTTCTACCCCCTCGACGAGCAGTGGACCACGAAATTGAGCTACTCCCAGGGGCAAAACCCCCTGCTAGAGCCCCCTATCGCATGGCCCCGCCAGAGTTGGCCGAGCTGAGAAAACAGTTGGATGAGCTTCTACAAGCCGGGTTCATCCGACCATCAAAGGCTCCTTTCGGAGCGCCAGTGCTATTCCAGAAAAAGCATGATGGGAGCTTGCGCTTATGTGTCGACTACAGGGCTTTGAACAAAGTCACCGTAAGAAACAAATATCCTATCTCGCTCATAGCAGACTTGTTTGATCAATTGAGCGGGGCCAAGTACTTCTCCAAACTGGACCTGAGATCGGGATACCATCAGGTCAGAATCCTCGAGGGAGATGAGCCGAAGACCACCTGTGTAACACGGTATGGTGCATTTGAATTCCTTGTTATGCCTTTTGGACTAACCAATGCTCCTGCCACATTTTGTACATTGATGAATCAGGTGTTTCATGACTACCTAGACAAGTTTGTAGTCATTTATTTAGACGATATAGTGGTATATAGCTCCACGTTGGAAGAACATCAAGAACACCTGCGACAGGTATTTCAAAGGTTACAGGACCACCAGTTATATGTAAAAAGGGAGAAGTGTGCATTCGCTCAGACCCAAATCCATTTTCTCGATCACATTGTCGAACGTGGCCACATCCGAATGGACATGGAAAAAGTCAGGGCCATCAAAGAGTGGACGATACCGAAGAATGTTAGTGAGCTCCGCTCCTTTTTGGGACTAGCCAACTATTATAGAAGGTTTGTGGAAGGGTACTCTCGTAAGACCACGTCCCTCACGGAGCTACTGAAGAAGGAACATAAATGGTGTTGGACGAACGAGTGCCAAGAGGTCTTTGAGGGATTGAAGGATGCTATTATGAAGGATCCCATCTTAGCTCTCCCCGATATTGGAAAGCCTTTTGTAGTCCAGACGGATGCATCAGATTTTGCTATTGGAGGTGTGCTTTTACAACAACATCACCTGGTAGCATTCGAAAGTAGGAAGCTGAGTGAAGCTGAAAGGAAATACACAGCCCAGGAGAAAGAGCTCCTTGCGGTGGTTCATTGCTTGAGGACTTGGCGGCATTACTTGTTGGGTGCGCACTTTGTCGTGAAGATAGACAACACAACCGTTAGCCACTTCCTCACCCAACCAAGACTCACGACGAAACAAGCTAGGTGGCAGGAATTTTTAGCTGAGTTCGACTTTTATTTTGAGCATACCGCGGGAAAGACTAATCAAGTGGCGGATGCCTTGAGCAGGCGGCCAGAGTTAGCGGCCCTCAGAAGAATGGCCCCAATGGTGGCTAGCAGAGCCACTACAGACATCCATAAGTTGATTGGAGATCATTTAGGGAAAGACCCGCAAGCCTGTGCCATTTTGAAGCTAGTGGAAGAAGGGAAGTCCAAACATTTCTGGAAAGAAAATGGGGTCTTGTGGACCAAGGGACCTCGAGTCTTTGTGCCAAGAGCAGGAGGTCTGAGACAGATGCTGATGAGGGAGTGTCATGACACCCCATGGGCGGGACATCCGGGCTGGCAGCGCACGTTGGCGTTATTGAAACAAGGATATTATTGGCCTCAAATGCGACAAGATGTGATGGAATATACGAAGACTTGCCTCATTTGCCAACAAGACAAAGTCGAGAAGAGGAAACCTGCAGGTATGCTTGAACCTTTATCGGTACCTACCAAACCGTGGGAAAGCATCTCCCTCGATTTCATCTCGAGCCTACCCAAGGTTGGCGATCTTGGAGCTATCTTGGTGGTGATTGATCGGTTCTCTAAGTATACCACATTCATTCCTGCTCCCAAGTACTGTACAGCGGAGGACACAGCTCGACTATTGTTCAAACATGTGGTCAAGTATTGGGGCCTCCCCCAAAACATTGTCAGTGATAGAGATCCTAGATTCACGGGGTCTTTTTGGAGAGAACTTTTCAAGATTTTGGGGTCCCAACTCAACATCTCCTCGAGCTATCACCCTCAAACTGATGGCCAAACAGAGCGGTTCAATGGATTGTTAGAGGAATACTTGAGGCATTTTGTCCACGCCAACCAAAAGAACTGGCCCTCATTATTGGACGTTGCTCAACTCTGTTTTAATTCCAACAAAAGCTCTTCCACCAACAAGAGCCCATTTGAGGTGATCACCGGACAATTACCAAGGCTACCCCACACTTCCTTGGAACAATATGGAGGAAAGAATCCCAGAGCATTCAACCTCAGCAAGGAGTGGAAACAAAACACGGAGATCGCGCAAGCCTACTTAGAGAAAGCGTCAAAACGGATGAAAAAATGGGCAGACAAGGGTCGTAGAGCTCAACAATTTCAGGTTGGGGATTTGGTTCTTGTTCGATTAGTCCCTGAACAAACCAGGTTCTTGAGGAAGAGAGATCGTAGATTGGTGCGCAAGTACGAAGGTCCAGTAAAGGTCCTTTCCAAGGTGGGGAATGCTTCCTACAAAATCGACCCTCCAAAGTGGATGAAGGTGCACCCAGTATTTCATGTGAGCAACTTGAAGCCATTCCATGCAGATCCTACAGATGCTGGTCGAAGAGAGCCAACCAGAGCCGCCATCACCATGAAACCACCCTCAGAGCGTCGAGTCCAAGAGATCTTAGCTGACAGGGAAACCAAGATATCTCGAAGACTAGTTCGGGAGTACTTAGTAAAGTGGGAGGGACTAGGCCTAGAAGAAACCAGCTGGGAGAGAGAGCACGACCTCCAGAGATTTCAAAGGAAGATCGAAGAATTTCAAGCCAGCAAGTCGACGAGGACGTCGTTAGAATAGGTGGGGGAGGATGTCATGAGCCAACCTTGTATAAGGCCATGACCGGGACTTAGGTTGCCATGAGCCACCCATGTATAGGGCCATGGCCGGGTAGACCCCTTGTGTTAGGAAAAGTGTCCCCATTTCAAACATTGTAACGGTTACTGGTAGCATAGCTCTAAAATCTCTAAGGCTCTTTAGGGGGGGTGAGCCGGCAGGGTATTGTTGGGCTGTCTCACCGGGTGCTATGCGAGCTTAGGCCACCCACCATGGGCTGCCCCCCTGGCCCTGGTGATGGTGGGAGGTCCCGATGTATGATTCCCGATTTTAATGAAATTCGCCTCGATTGAATGCCCGATTGTTGCCTCGATGTGTTTCTTTTCTTTCTCGATGTGAATGTGCCTTGTTGTGTGTATGGATGAGATTGATATTGATATATTGTGCCTTATTGTGAATGCTTGAGACTAACCATGGTTTATGGTTATTTGTTCAGATCTCGATCTATTGAGGGCTGACTTGGGTGGAAGCGTCCATTCAAGTGCCTCGCGGGCTAGTGCTTGTTGAGAGAAAGCTTAGTCCGTGACAAACAACCTGTAGAAAGAACCGATATTGTATTCTAAACAAATAATACACCGATATTGTTACGATTCTAGTACTTTATTATTAACTTGAAAAGTGGAACACTTCATTAAAATTCAGGAAATCATCACATCATTGCATGCAACTTCTCAACAAAACGATCAATGTAGGAGTTTTCAAGCCCGTTGCCTAAAAGGAACTCCCTCCATTTGGCATGGTTTGCCCTGGCCTCTTTCCCCACCTCACTATCATCATCCATCACGGCCATCACTGCCTTGCAAACATCGTTCTTTGAGAAAGTTCCATCTTCTGCACCTTTCTCAACTTCTACTCCAACTTTCAAATCTCCAGCCATCAATCTTGCATTAATTATCTGATCTCCAACATGAGGCAATAACACCAATTGACAATCATTAACCATAGCCTCTGATAAAGAACCGTAACCACAATGGGTCACGAAACATCCCACAGAAGGGTGCCTCAAGATCATTTGTTGTGGTACCCAATCCCCATGAACAAATCCTCTTCCTTTTACTCTCTCTTGGAATCCTTCCGGTAATGCTGACTCAGTTGTTTCAGCTCCCATTGGTGGTTTCAGGGCAACTAAGAATGGTAAACCTGTAAGCTCAAGGCCTAAAACCAATTCCTGAAATTGATCACTCTTGAGAACACACTCACTCCCAAAGGCACAAAATATTACAGTCTGAGCTTGAAAGCTGCTCAACAACTTTTCCCATCGTTCTTCTAATACCTTATTTGTTGGCTCTGGCACAACTGGTCCAGCCAATATCACTGGCTTTTCAAATTGTTTTTCAATATAATCACAGTAAGGCCCTTCAATCTCCCTACATGTCTTGAAACCAATAGCATCACATTCATTTAAAGAAGTTAATTGGCGCACCACGAATGAAATACCATTTCCGTATTCTTTTATTGTCTCAGCAGCTAGTCCTCGAGCTTCATAGTCACTTAACTTGATACTTGAATAAGGGAAACCTGGTGGAGGCTCCATGAGATCCGATCCTGTCAAACCTTTCTCACGAATCTTTCTTGTTGGACTGATCAAATAGGCAACAGTTGCGGAGCTAATGGTACAGTAATGCATGGACTTGATGCCTAGTTTGCGACACAACAGAGGCGACCAGGAAGCAAAATCATAGAAAAGGAAGTGGGGTTTGAGTTCACGGAGAGAAGCGTCAATGGCTGGTTGTGTGAGATCCATTGCAGCCATAAGGAGAGGTTGCAGTGCGAAAGGAATATCAGCTGTTGTTTCAATGCCAAGAGGGAGGCCATCAATGTGAGGAACTTCAAATGGAATGAAGGTTATGAGATCGGGGTGAAGGTTGAAAGGCTCAAACTTGTGTTGTGTTTTGGTTGGCAAGAAGAAGGAGATTTTGTGTCTTCTTTCTGCTAATTTATTGGAGAGATGGAGAAATGGGGTAATATGGCCAACTGCAAACCATGGATACATCGCGATGTGAAGCATTTTTTCGCCCATACTTGCTCTTTCAGCATCAGCTAAAATACATGATCAGCTAAATAGGGACCAAACTTGAACTTAGATGTCCTCAAATGTAAGCATTTAGCTTTATATAACGGCTAATTTGGAACCAAACTTGAACCAAACTTGGGATTTGATTTTTTTTTTTTTAAACACTAGTCATGGGAAACAGAAGATAGATATTGAAAATGTACGTTAGGAGCGAACAAAAAAATATTTTCATGGTTCACAATCAAAATGATAAAAAAAATCTGAAGTGAAGTTGTTTTTTTTTTTTAATTCATAACTTGAGATAAGAAACAATTTTTAAAATATTAAAATTGGAAACTTAAATTACTGAAATAAAACTTATTGAATATATATTTTTTAAAATAATTACATAAATCAATTAAATTAAACATTAAATTTAAATTTAATGCCGTTTTCACTAGCTTGATTACGTGTAAATTAACCAAGGCATAGATGCAGTCTATACTCGATACTTCCGCTTCAATTACAAGTTTCTATTTGTATCCACAATCACACATTTTGGCTAATATTTTCTATAGAATTTCTGTTCCTGTAAAAGCATTAAGTCCTATTAAAAAAATCTTAAGTCATAAATCATACTTGTATTCAGTGTCCGTATTGTTCTCATGTATTTGTAAATATGGAAGGGCATTACACGTATTATATATGTGCAAGGGTGAGATTGCACCCAACTTAGTCTCATTGGAGAATAACCCTTAAACAATCTCGAACTTCAACCAAAACTACTAACATTAAAAAAAAAAAAAAAAGCCTGTCTTTATTAATGCCATCAACTTTATTCCAATGAGCTCTTTGTATAAGCCAACCCAAGCAAAGATGATTGGATTGGCCTAGCTAATGCAAAGCAGGAATCTGGATTAACTGACATCAACAACTCAATTACAACAATCTCATTTGGAAGGCGGATCTTGAGACGACGTTCGATTAAACCTGCTTGAAACACAAATGACATGAAAACATTAACCAAAGCCCACTAGCAACAGTATAGGTTAGGACTTGTATATAAGAAATGTAACAAATTCTTACCAGGGGAAATTTTTTTCCCACCATATAGCTCTTTTGTTAAGGGATTGACAGCCCAATGATTGACACCCACCCGACTTGTAGGTTGGAACCCAACTATTTTCCCTTCAGTTGACAAAACCACCTTTTCACCAAAAAAAAAGAAAGAAAGGACATGCATGCAAATTAGAAATATAGATGGAAACTTGATTGCTTTAAACTTTTAATCGTATTTATATACTAACAAGCAACAAAACACATAACAAACTTTAATTGAGATCCAAATTCTAATGAAATGGAGCTACTCTATACAGGTCCAGGACCGCAACCAATTTTGCTGTTACAGTTGCCAGCCAAGTCAATTTAAGTAGACACCAACACACAGTTCAATACGTGGATTCATTTTTTCCACACAAGATAAAGCTTGTCAAGAATTAAACAAGTCAACTTAAGTACGCTCCCACTTTCCTTTTTCTCCCTCTTTTCTTTCCGATACCTAGTATAAAGCTAGAAAGATGATGGAAAATATAAAAGCAAAATCTAAACCAATGAGTTTACCTGATAACTAGCAACATCCTGGACAGATGATTTTATATCAGCATCCATTTTCTCCACATCAGCAGAACTAGTTGAATCGTCCTCACTATTAGAATTAGCTTGATGAGGTGCTTTCAAGTAGTTTGGTATTTCACCAATCCAGGCACCAAGATTGGTTTCTGTTGCTATGTCACCAGGCCAGCCAAAGGCATCCTTAATCTTTCGGACTAACAAGATACAAAATGCCTCCAACTATCCATATGAAGTCAATATATTAATTTTTACATTAAAAGCAAATTTTAAATTTAATAAAGAAGGAAAAAAAAAAGAAAAGATAAAAGAGAACTGAAGTTTAAACAGGAATTATAAAGGATTAAAGGCTTCAAACATTAACCTCTATATTGTTAGGGATGTTCACTTACATGCATTGGGGCCATATTATTTACAATTCAGACACTAACAAGTTTTAAATTTAATCTTGACATTGTCTCTTATCTTAGTGCATTAGCCAGGAATGTACTACGCCAAGTTCAAATATGACATATAAATACACAGGCCATTGTCTGTAGAATGGTTCAGGCATTATTTGAATAGTATATGGGTCTCTGAAGAAGCTAGCATGTTTTTCCTTGCTAGATCAGTGGAGATGATAGAAGCATCAACTGTAAGAGAAGAAATGGCAGTATAACATTTTAGAGACAGAGTCAGAAATAGTTTTGAAGTACACTGCCTTCCACAAAGAACTGCAGATCATGGAAGGGATGTGGTTCTAGTCTGGAGAAATCAAAAAATTGGGAAAATAAGCATTGAATCTTGCCATCTGAGCTTGGTTAATCATTGCTCCATCTGAGTTTGGTTACACATTGCTCTAACAATAGTGCAAATTGGTTAGCAAGCTAAATTAGAAACAGGATGTGACCTGATGGCTGGGTCATAAAACCTCTATCCTTCGTGGTATTTACTTTTTCTGAGCATGGTTCAAGGCCTTCCTTAGAGGTTCTTTTCTCCTATATTTGGTTACATGTACTATTTCTTGTTGTTGCTAAATCTTTCTTGAATAAGATTTCTCTTTGGTCCAAAAATAAAAAGGGGCTCTATACAGTGCATTTCTAGATCACATGAATGTTTTGGCAGCGAAGAAAATGTGTATAAGGTCACAAGGACTTTAAAAACATGGCAAATTTCTAGGAAAAACTTGTTCGCCTATTCTAATCTTTGCATTAACTGAGCATGGATGCAAAAATAATACACAGATAAAACTGAAAATGAATTAGTAGAAAGCTACATAGTACACAGTATATTCCCACCTTTTCAGTGTCTACAGATTGAATTGTTGTAGACTCAATAATTGATGACGATGGAGACCTAGATCCTCCAGGGTACTTTCCTCCTTTGCCTAGATAAGGAAAACTAAATTGACTGAGTGTACTGATGGTAATGAGAAGAATTCCACTTGCAATGGTGGCAGATACCACTCTCAAGAAAGAAGAGCTCCTCTGTAAGAAATAAAAACAATTAGACAATGCCAATGAACTTAACTCAATTCATACCAACTAAACTCAAAACATCAAACACCAATTGCAACTTTTCATGGCAAGATCCTTCAAGATCATAAAAGCCTAAACCCCTCAGAAAGAAAAAACCACAAAATAATAGAAGAGAAACAATGAATTTGCAAAGAAGTCAAATATAGCATACAGTTCATGAATTCTGAGAGGTAATTTCAAACATCCATGTTAACTCTATCCAGTGCTGGGTTTAACACTTTTCTAAGCATTATCAAGATTTTTACACACACTTCCACAATCAACAGCTTTGAAACTTCTTTAACATTTTCTTAACTGATTTATTAAATCGCAAATTTTTACCAATCACCTTCTATCTTAAAATTTCTAAAGAACCAAGGAGCCCAGCCGATCGAAAAAGGTTAGCAAAACAAAACCAAACAACAACAAAGTTTCAACTTTTAACATTTACCAATAAGTAAAAACAGAGACAATCAATATGCATTTCAATACCTTTGCTTTAGACAAGCTGTTATAATTGGCAACCACACCACTGTGTAGTTGTTTGTTAGGCAGTGAGTAGACATCTTCATAGTACATATCTAACATATCAGCCAGTCCAACCTACACATTTTTATAAGTTAGCATCAAAAAGAGAAGCCAAACATTCCATAAAACAATGCACAATAGAAAACTAAATACAACATGAAAACTACACCTTAATTATCAAAAAGAATTATCCAGATGAAAGACAAATCAAAAGATCAAACACTGAGAGGAAAGAATAAAGTACCATCTGGGAGTGTGTCAAAAGAACTTCCCACCTATTCTCGTCAGATTTTCTCCATCCTTCAAACTTTACATCCTTAAATGTATTTGCATTGATTTCCAGCCGAAAGGCAGGTATAAACTCACTTGTCCAAGCACTAAACTCATGACCACCAATCTTTTTCAACTTAGAGTGCAAAGGTTGAGTCCACGCATAGTTTTTCCTCCTCAAATCCATAGCCTTGAAACTCTCTTTACTCGAATTAAAACTTTCAAGAAGACTCTTGGCATTTTCAACCACCTCATCTTCAAACGCTTCATATATAATAACCGAGGAATCTTTTGATACAATATTTTTCGACTTCCGAAACCACAGAAAGAAGTTATAGGAAGTTTTTCCCAATAAATTTTCCAGGAAATGTTTTTCAGTGCTTTGTAAAGCCAAGATGCAAACAAGTTCACCCAGCACAGAGATAACCCTTTCTTCCGACGAGCTGAGAGTGAACGAGGTGAGAACCTGCTGATACGAAATGCATAACAAGAGAACTGAACCTATCAGTATCAAGTGGGACCTGCAGAAAAGACATTAATTATAAAAGTCGACATACAGATAACGAAAATAACAGAATCCACAAATAAGAAATACTAACGGTTATCTAACCTCTCTTGGGTTTTCAAGATCCTCCATATCTCTTTGGGTTCCAGGACAAAACAAAACCAGTTCGAAACTCCAAAGCTTTTGCATAACCACTTGCCTAAATGTCATTGCCAGTATGTTTTTCGATGATGTTCCCGCTAAAATTTCTTCAGACAGTGACTTTTTCAGCTTTTGAGCTTTTTCTTTAACTTTCCTAGCAGGCAAAAACTGTTCCAAAAATTTAAAATTAAAAGATAAACATTTAACAATTAATTTATGATTTGGAGAGGACAGAAATGAGCTAACCAATCGGGTTGAAACGGTGGCATTTTTAGCGGTGGGGCCAGGGAAAACAGTTTCAATAACCATAGCAGGGATACCGGACTCGACGTGCTCGGTAGCGGCTCGGCCTCCATCGGCAGCTGCAGCCGTCAAAGCTTGGTCAAAGCCGACGGCTCCAACAAGGGTGAGGCGAGCGAGGTCGTTTTCGTAGGTCCGAACACAAGGGAGCGTGGTTCCATCGGAGTCCGCTATGAATTTTAGGGCTTCCTGTTCGGTGGATGGAGCTGGTTTCGGAGAAGAACGGGAGAGAATAAGGAAGGGAATTTTGGGGTTGCGGAAGGGTAGCTTGTGAAAAAAGGTGAACTTGTTAGAGGAATGAGAGGGAAATTTGATGAGAAATGGAGGGGAAAGTGAGTGAGTTAAAGCCATTGATGGAGCAGCCATTGATGGAGCAGAGCAGAGGGTTTTGGGGATTTTGGGAGGTTTTTTATTTTAAAACGTTGAGGTAGGCGCATGTTAGCAACATGTACACGTGGCCAGATTTAGGCTTAATGAGTTGTTAGGTTTTGGGATTCAGCTGTTTTCCAAGAAACGAGGTCGTTTTGGACCTTAAGACACCGCTTTGGAAAATACTATAAATATCAACTTCTCACTTTCTCAGAGGCGGAAGAAATTACTATCCATTGACAAATAAAAAAAATCCTCAGCAGGTATTTTCGCCTATCCTTTGAAAAGCATCGAAAAAGTTTAGGGTTTCCTTTTTTCTCGCTAATTGAAATTGCCCTCTGGTAAGTTCGATTATTTAATTTCTTTTCCTCGTTGATGAAATTCGAGTTATAGTCGTTATCATTTGTTTCCAAATAAACTTTTAATTTTTTCTGCTTCTTTAAATTTGGTGGATATTTTCATCGATAGGGTTGGTTAGCTTTTGGAATCTGCCCTAATTTTTATTTTCCTGTTGCTTATCCTTAAGAAGAAAAGAAAATTAAAGAAGGGTTTAAACTTTTTGTGAGAAATTTGAGGAAAAAGAAAATAGATTTGGTTTTACCGCTTAACCTAATTATTTATCCCCAAAAAAAGAAAGCCTGAAATAATTAGTTACGGTTTGAAGTGAAAAATCTGATTTTTGGTGGGAATTCTTTAAATTTGTCTTAAATCTGAAATTTTTATGCTCATTCTGGTTGTAAATTGACATGATGAAGGAATTGAAGTATGGGAAAGAGGAAATCAAGAGCAAAGCCAGCTCCTAAGAAGCGAATGGATAAGCTTGACACTGTTTTCAGCTGTCCCTTTTGTAACCATGGAACCAGTGTTGAGTGCCGCCTGTAAGTATAAACTTCTTATATTTGTTTTATGAGAATTTTACCCTTATTTGGATCTAATAGCTGAGATAATTTGAGGCAATACCTCCTACTCTGTGGTTAGTAAACCATTTTATCTTTGATGAAGATAAAAGAGAAAACGTGTGTTATGTGAAAAATGATTTCTTGTGTCGTAAGGATTTATCTATGTTATAATTCGGAGTACTAAGTATTGGTGTTTATCTGTTCCAGTGATATGAAGAACTTGATTGGCGAAGCCTCTTGCAGGATATGCCAGGAAAGTTTCAGCACCGTTATAACAGGTACTCATGATACGATAATTTTTGGCTGATAAAGAACATGAAGTTTTTTGTAGTGGTGATGAAAACTAAGTTGGCAGTCTTTTTGTTAACTCATGCACGTTTCTTTTGTCTCTGTATTTGCAGCTTTGACTGAACCAATAGACATGTAAGTGCTATCAATGTGGTGTTTAATCTCTGTTTCTCTCTAGCTTGATCTCCCTTTATATTTATTCTTCTTGTGACTTTCCAGATACAGCGAGTGGATCGACGAATGTGAGCGGGTTAACAACCTTGAAGATGATGGAGATCAGGATGAAGGTTATGTGCCTAGAAAACGGGTTTCAACGTCTGAATGGGATTAGCAGTAGCCAGGAATGTTTTAGAACTTGCTACGCCTGTAATTATGCTAGTTTCTGGGGGGAATAGTTGGTGTGGGGGTAATCTTTGCACATGTAACAGCATCTCATGATGAATAGCCTAAGTTATCGATTCTGGTAAGGGAGCACTTTGTCGAAGGGCTATTAGCTATTGTTTCGTGCTGTATGAACCAATTTATTTTGATGTAATGCAATTACTTTATGCTATTCCGAATGATGGTTTGCAGATATAATTGGACAAGCCATTGGCTGATGAGACATTTTCCTAATTTTTAAAGGGTTAAAATTTAAAAAAGATATTTTTTACATGCTGCAGCTCGTGGTTGGGCAAAGTTATGCAGTGTAATCTCAGAATATTGAAACATGAAAGGATTTTCAATAGCAGGCAATATTCACACAATCATCATTTTTCTTGAATATCTTGTTTTTACTATCTGCTATCCTCTGTATCACACCTTCCCTCAAGAAAACAGTCGAAAATTTCGTACGAGTGCTAAATCCAAAATCATTTACAAGCATAGATCAAGTGATAATGACTCAAGAAATGTCTTTGATTATGTACCCAGTTACAGGCTGAGATATCTTTCATGAGCAGCTGAAAGATTTAGGCATTTAGCATATAGTATTTAAAACCCTAGAAATACAATTAGCTTCTATTGTTTACCATGTCTTAGTAGGTATAAAAATGGACTGACGAAAAACAGCCATTTCTCTTTGCTTGTAACCGTCTTCCAGAAGTTAGATTGAGCGCCAGCACCAAGGATCGTCAACAACTAATACATAACTTCTGTGTGCAAGTGAACTATACAAATTTATGGTCACCAAAAATAAGAGCTAGACTTGGTTTTCTGAGAATGAACTGCAAAAAGGACTTGAAAAAATGCATAGTTTCCACCCCTTCAACAAGTTAAAATGCTTCAGCAGATATATAACTAGACGAATGGATGCAGCTACTTCATCTTTTATCAGGATTTCTTCAATTAGGTTAGATAATAGCCATTTAAATTATCAACAAGATAGTCATACTGCACACCAAGCCCATAATCGAGCTCGTCACTTGTTGGTGTCGCATTAATCTTAGCCCTTCCTTTGACACAGCGCTTATTATCAGATGGGAACTCTGCAGTGAGCCTTCCCATCTGCTTCTGCAAATCAGCAACTGTATCACTCGCTGATTTCCCCTTTGCACTTTTCTTACCATCGACAAGCTTCAATTCCAATCTATACAAGGCACAAGCATCACATTTGTTGATCTCATATTCGTAAAGGTGCCACTCAAAATGGTTTAGTGGCTGTGGATCCATGTAGTATGATCTCTTCAGTCCTCCAAATTCATTCATGACTTGCTTTCTTGACTCATGCCAGCCACGCCCACTGTAATCTGGCAAAGACCTCTGCTTTCTGTTCCCACTTTCAAATGCCCTTCGAGGCTTATCAAAAAAGAGCCACTCCCTAATTGATTCACCATCAAGAACCGAAAGATCAAAGAGCTCTGTAATCACAGGAGAAAATTAATTAACTTAACAAAAGTCATAAAGAACATAGTGCATGATTAGAGAACATATTCTGTTCTCACTCAAAAGTTGCCACTATAACCAAGCAATATTGATAAGACATACCAGGAGCATTCCATGGAGACTTTGCAGTTGCAGCTCCCTCACATTCTGGTATACCCACATCTTTTCCTTGTGCCTTAGCACTAAGAGCAGAAAAGAGCAGACAATCCTTGAGGCCTATGCCACCAGGTCGCAGGACAGGGCCCATTCCAGGTGGGCCTTCATTCATTGCCAAAGCAGCATGAAAGCTACTGCAGTAGTCCTGACACCAGTCCAACCCTTGAGCAGGCCTTGGACAATCCCAAAGTGCACACTTTGGACCTAAGAATGCAGCTGGTGGCGGGCATATACTTGGCAGATAGCTAGAAGTATGAGGCAAGGCATCCTCCCCACAGAAACCGGTACCATTGAAACCTGCGTAGAAGTGCTCAAAATCCTGATGCAAATCGAACTGATGGTATTCCAATTGTGTAGCCCCTTCGAAGTTGTTAACTGACATGGCACGGATGCCTGAAGGTGACTCTTTGTTATGATCAACTAATGGAAAGCCGCGTTCATGTTGATCCTGATTCACTCCATAACTCTGTAAGAGCATATTGATTATAAAACTTGCCAGTGAAAAACTTTTTCAACATAATAACATGTCAAAGCAAAATGGAAACAGTTAACTACAAAACATGCAAGAAATATAATTAAGAGAAAAACCAATGGATACAAACATTAGCTCAAGGGAAAGATAATGTTTTAATGCAAAAGTATAAACAAGAAAAAGCAAATTAAAGCCCCAGTAAGCTCAACCCAAGAGGTGTAAAAGCATGCATAAAGCCGAACATGGGGAAAGTACACATCAGCAATTGGTTTATGCTTTGACCATCCATTCTAACAATATAAGGGAAAAAATTCATCAACTTCTCAAACTTGTCAACTCTACACAACAAAGCAGCCCAGAAGCACACTCTAGGTACTCAGGCCCTATTAGGCAGAAGTTTGGTCTCTCGTCATGTGGCCATTACCCTTTCCCCACAAAATCGGCTTATTAGGGTGTGCCACACCAACGTTTATACGCCCAATGACTTCTCCTTTCCTATCCGATGTGGGATTAATGCACCCTGCCTGCTCCTTTTGAGCAATTGGCATGACATTCTACCCCACCAAGTCTCGTGATGCCCTTGTCATGGTTGCCACCCCACCGGCTCCCCTTTGGAGTACTTGACGTGGTCAAACTTTGCCACTGCCTTACCGCAGCACCTTGTTAAGTAGCTAGAATAGCCCACCTTGCCTACTTCCACTGGGGCACTTAGCGTAGAGTTAGATGAGTCAACGGTTGGCTCTAATACCACTTGATCTACATGCATGATAATTCCATACCGCACACCCCCACTCCACATGACTAACATGCCAGGCTCAGTCTTCTCACCTAAGGCCAATAAAGTAAGATGGCAGCAAAGCAATTATTTGATAGGTATCTATAATAATAATAATATACTATACTATCAAAATCTTAATTGGCTCAATTTAGATTTAAGTGGCAATTCCAAATGAACGATAATTCACTGCAATTACACTGACATGATTTGCAAACTAAATGTTAACAAGAAGAATACAAGAGTGCAGTGTTCATTAGACAGAAAATATGATAAGTGATTATTGGGCTGTGAGAAGATATCTTAGAATGAAATCCACCAGTTATCCCTGTCTTCCTATTCATTGAGTGCGCAATCAATGAAACATATTTGATGCTCTTACAGAATATCCTATATCCTGCTGATAAAAAATCTATGTATCATATATCCTCCCATGTTTTTCACAGCGAAACACAATTATTGAGGAAACCAATAACAGAACATTACTTATCACAACCCTATTAAAGAGAATTGCAAGCATATTGTAGTAGCCTTCTGTACTCTGTAACATCAATCCAGGAAAAAAACAAATTAGAAACGATCAAGTAGCATAATTTTCCATTGTTTCTCTCATTTACCACATTTTAAAAACTAAAAACAATCATGAACATATATAAACATACACAGCTCCAAATCCTGTGCTTACATAAGAAGCAACCAAATGCCTTCCAACAATATAGAAATCTCATCCCTTAGAATGGACAACTTAACTTGAAGCTCATGTTGGTCTAAGCATACTCAATAAACCTGTTTTCAGTCCAGCCATTATGCAAATTCCAAAAGAAAATGAAAAAGCAAAGAATCCAAGGACAAATAGAAATCACCTCTTGGAAAGCAGCAGCATCTCCTACTTGCAGGCTTTGATCATTAGGCTCTGGCTTTGGTGCAGCTAATATACTAGTGGCATCATCTTCCTCCTCGCAAAGCTGCAACAGCCGACAAATGTCTGACGAAAATGAACCAAGACTCCCACCCTGTAAATCACCATGAAGATCACAATTCACAATCACAAACTTTAGACTGTATTTTCAACCCCATAAGATTAAAATTCATGAGCATTTATCTTAGTTACATTCTGTAACAGCCAGACCAAACCCTTCAAACAGCATACAACCTACTAAACCATACATTCACACAAACTCACACTGATATAAATTTTACATATAATTCAAATAAAAATTTATATAAGCAGTGCTAACTTGTTGCAATGAAGACGCTGGAGAAGGTTCATTAAGCTCAGCTTTCCATTCACGGAGCATCTGATGGACTTGCTCCTCAAGGACTGTGACATCAATGCTGCGACTCTCCTTCCTGGCAAATTGCAGATCCAAGAAAATTCCTTGCAGATCATCCACCAGGTTTTTTGCCCTGTCCAAGAGTTTTGGATGCTGACTTGAGTTGGTTTTCGAACCTTTCCCATAGGATAAACAAGCTCATCATTCGCATCCAAAAAATGCATTAAAGCGCAATAAAATGCAACACAAGGTCAACCCAGATGAAAATTCAATCCAATAATCACTAGTCTTATTCCTAAATTTTATAACTAAATATCAGTTTACAACTAACAATAGTGGAAAAAACAAAACATCAAAAATTAAACACAAGGCACTGAGATTGCTGAGATTGCAACAGTTATCTAATTACCATTAAAAAAAACCAAACTATAAAATATTATAGAAATCACGGTTAATAAATTTACATCAAACCAATATAAACTAAAGTCCCATAAACAAGAAAATTAAATAAAAAAAAAACCAACCTGAATTATATATAAAAAGAAAAGCACCCCAATTTCCCAAATACCTTAAAACTGAGATTAAAACAAGGCAGCATGAGATCAAAGGCAAATTGTAGAATCAAAATAGATGGAAATAGTTATCCTAGAAATCTAACCGGAGAATGATCAAAGACTCAGGAGTTCCTCGACTTTGTATGGAGCAACCTCTGAGACAAAAGTAGAGTGAGAGAAATGGAGAAAAAGAAAGTGCTGGGAAATTACAAGAAAGAGAGAAAAGTAAATATTCTATGAAACAAAAGAGTCCACTGTTCATTCAGCCAAAGAAAACTACTAAAAGAAGAGATGCTCCTTGCCACTATGTGTTTGCTTTTCTTTTTCTTTTTTTTTTTTTTTTGAGGTTTGGTTTTAATTTTATTTTCCCAATTTCCAATCAGGAAGGCATTTTTTGGGTTTTTTTTTTTTTTTTAAGGAAATAAATTGAAGAAGGCAATGTGTACATAACGCAGTAACGCGGCAAAAGTTAAACAGGAGAGGAGGATAACACCATGGATAGGCGGATAGAGAATATTTAGTTTTGCAATATGCCCTTTGTTTTTGAACTATTTACGATGATGACCTCGAACTTTCTTTTAACAATGAAAAAATTACAATCATGGGTGTTTGTAAATAATGGATTGCATCATAAATTTAGGATTGTTAAATTTTTTCTTTAGATCTGAAGAGTTAACTAAATTTTAAATCAAAGAATAACATTTTCAACTAGTGAATTTATTTTATTTTTATTATTCAATGATTTAATAAGATTTACATGATGCCTTTTATTTTTGCCAAAGATCTATATAATGCCTTAATTTCAACAAGTTATGTTTCATTTATATACTCTAAAATGAAAATAAAAAAGTAATAACTAAAACCGAGTATTGATTTAAACATGATAAATTTTTTTGTCATTGAAATTAAAATTTTAATTTTTAATAAAAAAATTACGAATTTTGAGTCATATAATTATCTACAAAATACTTTCATTTTTATATATATTCAAATAAAAAAATAAATATTTTTGTGTCTGAGACTTTTTAATGCCTAATAATTATTTTAAATTTTAATTAATTCAAAATCAAACTAAATCAAACCTCATAAAAAGATAAGTTTTTTTTAAGTTTTTTTTATTTGTAATACTCAAAATTTTATTTAAAGATAATCAAAATTTTTATTACTTGAATAAATAAGCGTTGACAAAAAAATAATTTGATTATAAAATAATTATTTTATTAATAATCGTATGATTTATTAATAAGTATTAAACTTTCAATTTATGACAACTTTAAACACAAAAAAAAAAAACCCGATAAAAAATTATTATGCAAAGAAATAAAGTTAGATTTTCTTAAATCTCATACTTTTGATTAATTAAACTTAGGTGTATATAACTCAAAATATTGTAAATTGTTATGATAAATGTGAACTATTTCTTTTATTTCCCCGCTAAGATGTAAACATTGTCCTGTAGTACTTAAATGGCGTTGAAAAAGAAGAGCCAAACAAGATATGGGCCGGTTTGTCATTTTATGGCATTATGCCTTACATTTTACATCATGTTATCTTAGCATTTATTTCTAAATAATATCAACCAAACTTTATTTGGTGATCTTTGTTATAAAATTTACTATCAGAGGTTAAATAAATCAAAATAATGGAAGAATTCAAAAAATTTTATAATTTTTATATATTTTTGCCATACTCTAAATTTTTTTTTAATAATATTATAGTCTTTAACTCAACCTCCTTAATATAAAACTCAACCACTCTTTTTTAATTTAATTCAATATTTTGATCTCCTTTCATGATTTTACCAATTTCATTTTTATTTCTTATTTTTTTAGTTTTAAATTGCAATATCTTTAATATCAATTAAAAAATTTTAATATAAATCTTTTTATTTTTTTAATAGTTGGAATCTATAACTTTTTAATTGAAAGCCTCAAAATAAAAAAAAAAAGTGACTTAAAACTAATTAATGTGGACGGTGCCAAGTCAAGCCTAGAATAAAAAAGAGAATAAATTGCGAGAGGTGTGCTTACATCATTTTTACAAAAGAGCAATTCTCATGTATAGCTTACATGATATGGATGTCGGTAGGGGCAATAGCCAAATTAGACCCGAAAATCAAAGAAGTTGACTCTATAACAAGAGGCAGTTGCTCCTTTGATGCTTGGTTCCTTCTAGTTGTTTAATCATCATCAGTCCCATTTATTTTACAAGTCGAGATAGTGCGATGGAAGGAATCTGGTGTCATACGGTATTGGCTCGATAGAATAGTGCAGCGATAAGAACTTTCCACTATATTAAAGTAAAATCTCATTTGGCTCCATAAAATATTGCCATGGAAGGAATTTCTTATCACATTAAAATTTTATTTTAAACCTGATTTTGTATTTAAGAATAATATTATTTTGAATTGAATTTGATTTGATTCAATTTTTTAAATAATATATAATATTTTAAATATTTTAAATTAATCTAAATTTAAATTGATTTGATTTAAATTGATTTTATTCATTCAATTTGATGTATCAATTTTAATTTTTATATTTTTATATATTATTTTAATAAATTTTTAATATACTTAAATAAATTTATATATAATAATTATTTTTATTTTATAAAAATTTTAAAAATATATAAAACTAATAAAAATATATAATTCAGTTTAATTTAATTTTTTTTGAAATTTTTTTACATTTCAATCCGAAATTAATTTTCAAATTTAATATATATATTTAATATTTAAATTTAATTTAAATCAAATAAAAATCGATCAAAATTAATTTGAATATTATAATTTTAAATTAATTTTTAACTTTTTTTTTTCACCTTACCCGCGCCAAACAATCTTAGCTCATAAGGAGAAGTTCCCATATCATTAAAGTCCCGATATTCCACGAGATTTTATGCCAAATGGCAACTTGGGTTCATTTAGGAATATGATGAAACCTTCTCCTCGTGCTGGAGTTTCTGTTTTATGATCCAACCCGAAATAAATTTGATTTAAACACGTATACTACTTAATTGTTAAGGTAAAAAAGAAAATTGAAATTTGACTTTTGCTCATGAAATTCCCTTTTAAAAGAAAGGATTAGCCACTCAAGAAAATGCCCTTGTTTTTTTTTTTTATTATTCACGCCCAAAAGAAATAAAAAAGCCATAACCCCTTTTGTGGAGGTGAGGAAAGCGAAAGATAATTCGGGCAAGAAAGGCATAAAGAGAACTCCCACTACCACCCACCAGATTCCTATATCTTTGCTGGCTTGATGCCCTCTCTCTTACCGAGACTTTTAAAGATAGCGGCGTTTAACAAGAGAATGATCACTGTTGAAGATAAAATCAGCATCATTTTCACAAACCCTTTGCCCACTTAAATGCCTCACATTTTGATCCTCATCTATGGTTTTGCCTAATGCTAATAGTATTTATGAATACGCCATCTGGCTTCAATCAGTGATCTAATCATCTTAAAGCATATTCGCTTGCAAACAACATGAAAGTCTCCATATTCTGTATTTGGTTTGTTCACAAGAAAATGAAAAAAAAATGGCATGCATTATTGTGAAAATAAGTCACTTGTATTATTAATAAAAAGGGGGAAGCTGTAAATTGGATGGAAAGATTAGCTGCTTTTCTAACCAACGTAGGAGAACAAGTTTTCCAACTCACCGGATTTTTATATGTAGAAAAAGAACACCTCATAAACCAACAAAACTTCAAATCTCAAGACCATGCTTCCTCAAAATTCCAAAGCAGATTAGGTACTGTCATTTGCCTGAATTCTGAAAGTACACAATGCTTATCAGCAAAGTTTTAAGCATGAATGGACCCATAGCAAACCTTCAACCCTCAGCACATGCATGTACTTTTCTTTGTGTGGGTGTGAGAGAGTTCTATAAAGAGCAAATTTGTTCTAAAGATAGGTTGAAACTCGTAGCTGGCAAAGCTATTTTTTAACAAATTGGTGGCAAAGCTATAAACATTTCAATTCATCAAGGTAAATTTTAGAATGATGTATATCTTTAAAACTAGCACACCATGCCAACCAACTTCCTTGAATATAAACTCGTTAAAGTAACAGTGATACAATCTCTATCTTTTTGCTTATTTATTTCAGTAATGTACATATAATCTTTTAATGGACCAAGTGAAACCAGAAACCAGGCCGAAAAGATGGCCCAATGTTGAAAAGAATGAAAAAGAGGAATGATTTCCCTTGTTTAGGTGTTGATCAGGGAACTCTATAATAAATCGGAATTGGAATTAAAAAACAATACTTAAGCTCCTGAAATTAATTTCAAAAAATATCTTTTAAAAAATATTTATATTTTTTTTGAAGAATTAGAGATTTTTTTTATTTGGATAAGTTAATGAAAATTTTTTATGTTGTTTAGCTATTTTTTGAAAAATCTGTTTCTTTTTCAAATAATATTAATATAATTATTAAAATACTAAAATTATTTATTATTAAAGTATATTAAAATTATTTATTATTAAAATTATTAATATTAAAACATATATATTTTTAGTAATAATATTTAATATTAAAATATTATATTAATATAAAAGTACTTTAAATAAAACTATTTATTATTTATTATAATAATATAATGCTATTTATCATTGACATATTAAAAATATTTATGTTTAATAACATATAAAATAAAAATATTTAAAACTGAAATATCAAAAAACTTTTAATGTTAATAATTTATTTTTAATTAAAATTAAATAAAATATTTTTATTAATAAAATAATATTTTAAATCGAATCAAATCAAGTTCGAGCTTAAAATATTATATTCAAAATCTTATTTGAATAAAATTATAAAAATATTTAAAATTAAAATATTAAAAGACTTTTAATATTAATATTGTAATTTTTTAAGTAAAATTAAATAAAAATATTTTTTATTAATATAATAATATTTTAGGTCGGGTCAAATTAAATTTGAGCTTAAAAAAATTATATACAATATCTAATTTAAGTAAAATTATATTCAAATATATTGATAAATAATTTTACTCATAGACAATTGTTTCTAAAAATTGTTTTCCCTATTTCAAAAGGGTAAGATAGTTTCTAAAAAAATAGACTTATTTTCTATTGATCAGTAAATCATTACCAATCAATTTTCTGCTAAACAAACATCTGAAAAATATAAAAATTATTTTTTGAAAGTCTTTTTATGCAAAACAAACAAGCCTAAACTTATTTTTCAAGTCTCCCGTTTCCATCAAGATGATCTTGCCAAATTTCCCCACTCCGTATTAGCTTGTTCAAATTTGAAAATACCACTGAGTCCCTGTCGCTTAGCAAGTTGCTCCAGTTCTTCAAGTTCATGCCTAAGAAGTTCAATTTCTGTTGCTAAGTCCTCATTTCTTTGCTTCAATGCCTGAAATAACAGGGCGAATTGTGCTTGTGAATTAGGGGGCATTAGAAATAAGTAATTCCCTGAGGAACAGGAGATGCAAAATACTCAATCACTGTGCTTCTTTCATGGATAATGAAACTTAACAAGATCTTCAGAATCCAAGTTGGTTCCAACAGAGGTCAAGCATCATGGAGAAAGAAGCAACAACTGAACACAGGAGATTGTTCAATGAATACCTCCAACTTCTGTCTGTGTGCTTCCTCCCTTTTGGCTTCTGATCTAGAACTTCTTTGAACCTCAAAGATCAAGGCAGCTCCAGCAACCTATATACAGACCCGGAGATGTACAATATCAGAAACCTTCATGGATGGTACATATTGAACGGAGTGCATGTATGGTAAGTGTGGCATTTCATGCAAGTACATAGACATAATCACTTCACACACGCATTAAGTGCAAGAATAATGAAGTCATCTATACATAGATAGATATCAACACTTCATACACGCATTAAGTGCAAGAATAATTTAAGTCACCTATAAGCTCAAACCCAACTAAAGCAGCAGAAATGCTTCATGATAACGAAGATCCACTAGTTGCTAACCCTTATGCTAGCATATACATTCTACTCAAGGGAACCAGTGATATATCTAGAATCTAGGTAGATTTCCAATTCACTAATGATGTTATAATTTAAGTGCAACGTAAATCATGTGGTTGAATTATTGCATTCCAAAATACTGCTCCTAAGAAGAAGTAAGATATCCACCAAGCTGAGCCTATGTCTAATTTAAGGTAATGGTTGGTAGTAATATTTGCATAACACTTTCTGTTCAGGTAGATGCATAGAAATATCAAGATACATGCAAATATCAATATGTGCCAGTGTAAAACATTTTTAGCACTATTTCCAGCTTTTTCCCTTTTCTTGCTCATTTTCCTTTTTTCTGAAAGAAGAAGACGGAAAGCTTTTGTTGACTGCATCATCAATCTAGTAATCTACATCATACAAAACAGAAAGTAGTTTTGAAGACTTCAAGAAACAGTAATTAGAAGAACAGCTAGGTATGAATGATACCGTGAAGACGAAAAGTTCCACAATAAGATCTACAGCAGCCTGAACAGCTTTCTCCTCATCCAAGGGGCGTATCTTAACATCAGTTGCATGACCGTAAATGCGTCTTTGAATTTTTGTTGTGATTCGATGGTTTGCCTGGTTCCATTAGTTGGCATTAAAATTAAACTATTGGAATCCATTAATTTACAGCAGAAACTATAAAATAGTACGATATTACGATCTTGATCAACAAGTTGTGAAAAAATTAGTTCAAATAAGAACCATAACTTCATAGCTTAAGTTAAACACAAGTAGAACACTAAGGAAAAAAAGCAAATTATTGAAGGAGTATCAGAAAACAACAAAACGAGCAAGAGACAGATTACATCATCTGAATCTCATCTATCAACATAATGGAAATGTTTATTTGAACACTGTTGGCAGTAAGAAGTTAGAAATGGAACAATACAGATTACTAGTGGTAATATATCATTGATTCCATTCTTTAACCGAATGAATAATCAATTTAGATTAAGACCACGAATGATATACTCATAAATTATCATCCCCTTCTTTAGGCTTTTTAATTGCAATTTCTTTCTTTATTTTTGTGTAAACCAGAATATTCGCACTCCTAGGCTGCAAAAATCTGTAGATTTATTGAAAAAGCAGATTTTACATGAATGTTATGCTATTACTTACAGTCCAGCATCAATGGAAATGTTGTATCCTGATTTATTGTAAGATTTCAATCTCACATTTCACATTTCAGCATCAAAGGAAATGTTGGTATTAAAATGCTACTGGAAAATAGAAAAAGCAAGCCTCTAAATGGGGTTGAAAAAAAGGAAGCTTTAGCCTCCCATATCAAATTGTGAAGAAAGCAGCAAAGAGTAACGAAACATAACAAGCAAACTATTCATTTTGTACCTGAGCAATGCTGATCATGAACTGGCGGAATTTAGGGGCATACCCAGCCTGTCGCTTGAGCATATTAGCCACCGGTTTACTCACAGCTTTTAAGGTCAAAGCTCCTAGCTTTAACAGTGGCAGTACCATTTTTATGATCCGTTTCTTTTTTTTTCTTTTGGATTCTGTATGAACTTATAGTCAGATAAATGAAGGGAAAAACTTCCTAAGCAAGAATGTGAAAATGGATGATGGCTGCTAGGTTTGACTTGGTCAGGGTCTGAGTTTCTTGATAAGGAATATAATTACACCTTTCCTTTTTTTTGTTTCATTTACAAGGAAGGAGATGCCATTACTGAAATGGACTTTCCTTTTTTTTTTTCCTGTAAAAAAATTACTATTACATGCTATATTAGCTTACTTGTTCGGGTCTAAAGCTGAAAAGTACAGTTGACATTCTATATTAGCTGACTTTTACGGGTTTAAAGCTGAAAAGTACAGTTCTAAGGTGATTGGGCATGGACCATGGTTGGTTATTCTAATTCCCAGACCTCCAGCGTCATGGGTGTTGGAACTCTAAACTCTCAAACACAAAGTTTTTCTTGGTCAACGTATGCATTGTTGACATAAGATTCTGGTATTATAATCTCGAGGAGAAATTAATTCCGTTTAGGGGTCAGAATCAGATATAATCTTTATCTGATAAACACTTGATCGAAAGTTTCCTTTTTTATGGAATACTTGGAAACATGGAAGATTCAAACTTGGAAATTTTCACCAGGAAATGTTTGTATTCTGTTACACGTCTCCTCCCCCTCTTTTTCACAAAGCTAAAAATCTTAATGAAACATTTAGGTGCTTCCAAGAGTCACAGCCACCGGAACCCCACAATTGTCTAACAAGTGAAATTTCTCAAATATTGCAAAACCTTGCTTCAATTACTATATCATCCCGCATGAAAACCCAGAAGACTGGTTATTTCAAGAAAATGTTAGAAACAACCTACAGCCATGAAGGATTCTAAGCTCATTTTGCACAGATGCTTGTAAGAGAACTAAATGCATAACATATATTGCAAGCCTCTAATATCTAGCCATAGACAATTACAGAACAAACATCGCATTTAGAAGAAGAAAACTGTAATAATAATATTATTCATCTGACTTACATAGTCCTACTCAAATTTGACTACTTTTGATAACCCAGAAGAACACAAAATTTTCTTTGTCCGGCATTTCAGATCGTCGTTTATTCAACACTAGAGATCACACCAACCAATTCCTCTGTATTCCACAAATCCCATGGTTAATTCCAAATATCAGATCCGTCCCTCGTGTATGAACATCATAAGACTAGACCTAATCTCCAGTCTAAGTGAAGAAGACCAGAATGAATAGAATAATGAACAAAACTAGCAAAAACAATATCATCATAATCTGGCCCTTAGCACTGGCTTTCTTCATAACCATAGCCACTTTTTTCTGAAAGAAAAAATGAGGAAATTTTCATCAAACTAATAATTCAAGATAAGCTAGAAATTAATGGGCAGCAAATTTAGCTCAAGTTGGCATATGAACTCGAAAGCCCAAATATTTAATTTTCAAATCATGGATAGGATTGTTTTATATCTGCAAAACAACATCGAGAGAAGCACCTGAACAAAATCCAATCGGTTTGTTGTGCTGTCCATTTCAGTACCCAACTCGTCTATTATCTTCTCCTGAAACACCAAGGGATTCAAATATTAGCATATGAAATAGTCGATATTGATCCTATACTGGAATTGAACATAACATATTAACTACAGTAGCAATTCATTCATGAATAGGTAAAGATAAAAAATGTGCGCTTTAAGCTTCCCGACCAGGTAAACCAGAAAGATTATAGTAGGTGCATAACAGGGCAGATCACCAGTAAGTACTCACCTGTGCAATAAGTTCTTCATGTATAGTAAGCCCAACACTTCCTATTCTCTCAACACTTGCGCTGAGCTCATCCAACTCCTCATCCTGCTGCCTACAGTCACCAATTAAAAGCCAATAAAAAAATAGTAAAATTGGGCAAGGAAGCATGTATACTGATAAAACAAACACAGGAAGAGGAATTCAAGAAACTCTACTTTATAAGAAGCATTTGTCTATCAGATTCTGATGCTATAAAGTCATCATTATCTTCTGCAGCATACTGGTTGGATCTATCTGGCTGATGAGAATTTGGCAGTCTCATTAATTCTCGGCGTATTACACTTGCAGTATTACCATTCTCTTTTCCAGCTAATACAGCTTTCTTCACATTTCCCACCTGATCAAACAAAATAATCCTTAAAGGGGATCCCTACATATGTGGAAGACTAAGATTCACCATGTGCTACACAATCCAAATTTTGCATGGATCAGAAATTCCATCAACTCTATAACAGGACAAAGCCTGCACTGCCCCGTTTAGCAAATAAACAATACTGATATCTTCAATCTTTAATAAAATTTAACAACCATAAAGTTGATACCTGAGTACGGGCAGTGCTGGTCCATCTCCTCCGCTTTTCAAGTTCCGCTTCATCAATGCCATACCAAGAAGGATCTCTAGCTGCCACAGAAATTGCTTTGTCCAATTCATCCACCTTCCTATCAAGAAAGAAGTCTTTTCAGCAGTTGCAAATTGGATTAAAATTGTTCAATTAACCCCTAAAGATAATGCAAAACACATTATCCCAACATAGAATTTTAACCATTTCAAGGATCCAATCCAATTAAAGATGGAAAACTTAATTTTGAATACCTGCCATTCAATGCTCTCACAATTAGCAAGTAGATCTTTTGTGAGATGTACTAGCTCTCCAGTGTCAGGAGGAAACCTTTCCCATTGGTGAAAACTTGATTGCAGTTTATCAATCTAAACGAACAAATAAAAACACCCAAAATATCATTTAATTGAAAACCCAAAAAAAAAAAAAAGAAAAAGACAACTACCAAGGAGGACAAGCAATCTTTTTTCTCTAACAGGATTCCAAAAAATGAAAGAAGGAAAAGATCCAACTTACAGATTCTTGAATCTCTTCTTTGACGATATAAAATGGATCTTGAGGTTTAGACATCTTGTAAGTAATGGAAGGAACTTATATCCTGTAAACATTCCAAAGACCCATTCTTTAGTGATAATTCAGGTAAAAAAATAAACAAAAGCACAAATTTTTACATGGTTTCATACCTCCGCCACCGATCTGAGAAAAACCAAGTAAGGAAGATCGGTGTTTCCAACGTTTGGAAGGGTAAAATAACGAGGGAAGAGACGGAATTGAACGAACAACACCAAAAAAAATTGGTGCTTTCAGTTCTCCGCAAGCCATAAAACATAGAAGAGGAAAGGATTCATGATTTTGGACTCTAGCTGTCTTGTTTGACAATTCCCGGCCCTCTTCTCTTTTGTGAGGTATCGCCCATTTGAGGCTTTCGGCCCATTTTTTGAAGGGTCATTATCTAAGGTTTTCATAGTTTGTTTTGGCCCCTTTTCTTTTGGGCTCAACTAACCAAAAACGGTTACGATATTTTCTTTTTCTTGGATTAAAAAAGCATGGTTGAGAGTTTTAAATCATAAATGCATCTTATCAAATGAGACGGTAAGAGCGAATTAAATATGATTGTATGAAGAGTCAACAAAAAGCAGAGTAATTGTGCTTCACAAGCTACCAAACCTGTAAAATATATTGGGAGCATGAATTACCGGCTGTGAGAATTGGGTTGTCGGTGGCAAAGGGACTCGATATCCCTAATCGTGCTCCTACAGCCTATTCTTACAGCCTAGCGTTACCGAACCACCCACTCCATTCGCCCACTCATCCATACCGCTCCAGGTGTCTTTTTATTTTTATTTTTTCAATTTTTTCTTTTTCCAACTGTGCCTGGGATTTTTCATATTTTTAAAATTAAATTTCAAGATTAAAATAAAAATATTATTTTTTATTTTTTATTTTTTTTATCTCAATTCATTCTGTCTTTTTAAAAGTTCATTTTTTTTCTCTCTCAAACTAAATTAATTCTTTATTGAAACCCATATCAATCTACAAACAACCCTTCATTGCACAGTTAAGCTGCTCATCTGCTGAATATGGATTGATTTAAGTTTAAAGAGAGAATTAATTTTGTTTTAGAGAAAAATATGTATTGAGATAAAAAAAGAAGAGAAAAAATAAAAAATAAAGATTTTGAATAAAAAATAAAAAAATTATAAAATAATTAAGTATCACATTTTAAATCTAAAAAATACTTTCATTTCAATCCTAATTATAGAATATATTTATAAAGTTTACTATATTTTTAATGCAACTGCTTCGTTTCACTTAGTTTGAATACTCATTGGTGCAATGTGATTAAGTTCTTTCAATTGCATTGGATTAATAATTTTCAACAAGTATTTAATGAGCAACCGCACTTAATCCTAAATAATTTTTATTTTTATTTTATATTTATATTTACTTAGTTTATATTTTATATTTTTCATATTTAATATTATTTTGTTAAGTTTTGATATGTGTAAATATATTATTTTTAATTTTTTAAAAATATATTATTTGACATAAATATTATAATAATTTTTAATAATTTATATAAATATCAAATAATTTAAATTTTTTATTATGTATAAATTTTAATTTAATATTTTTAATAATTATTTTTAATTTCATTTAAATTTATTTACAATTACATATAAACACATATTTCATCATTAATTTTATTTTTATTATTATAATAATTAATTTTATTCTCTATTATTATTTTTAATTTGTCAAAAATTAATCGCACCGCTCTTCTAAACGATCACCGTGCCCTTCCTAATTTTTTAGACAAACGTCTGCCTTTCCTCGCCAAAAATATAAATAAATAAATAAATAAACGTCGCTGGCTACTTGCTTTTCTCGCAATAATTTTCATCTAGTTGTGGAAGACAGAGCAATTTTGCGCGACAGAAATAGCAAAACAGTCTGATCTCTCTGAGAAGCAAACTGATTTTTTGAGTTATGGATCAGGGTGCCACTGAAGACTTCCAAGCTCAAGCTCATTTATATAAACATATATTCAACTACATAGGGTCAATGTCACTCAAGTGTGCAGTTCAGCTTGGAATACCAGATATAATCCACAACCATGGCGAGCCCATCACTCTTTCTGAATTGGTCTCGGCTCTTCATATTGATTCAACCAAAGCTAGTTGCATATACCGGCTCATGCGGATGCTGGTGCACTCGGGCTTCTTTGCTACAACAAAAGTCGATAAAGATCAAGAAAATGAAGCATATGTTCTCACACCTTTTTCAAAGATACTTGTTAAAGACAAGATCAATTGCTTATCACCCTTTGTTATGGCAATGCTTAGTCCTGTTTTGATGACTCCATGGCAATTTTTAGGGGACTGGATACAAGGAACCAGGGAGAGGCCATTTGAGAGTGCAAATGGGAAAGCCTTTTGGGACTATATGGACCAAGACCCAGAATTCAAAACCCTTTTCCATGATGCAATGGAAAGTGATTCTCAGATGATGAATTTGGTTGTTAAAGACTGCAAACCAGTTTTTGAGGGCCTGAGTTCATTGGTTGATGTAGGGGGTGGTACGGGCACAATAGCTAGGGTTATATCAGAAGCATATCCCCAATTGAAATGCACAGTGTTTGACCTCCCTCACGTTGTGGCTAACTTGCCAAATAGTGGGAACTTGAATTTCGTGGGAGGTGATTTGTTTCTGCATATCCCTGCTGCAGATGCCATTCTAATGAAGGTAGGCAAAATTGATGAATACGTTTATATCTCAATATTGCTAGCTTCTTATGCTGCCCTATCTTTAGCACATAATTTGATCTCATAGTATAAAATTTGTGGCTAAAAGTTATCTAGATCCTGCATACATATATGCCTCGTTAAATAGATTGTTCAATCTATGAATTTATATGCTTTGTTGCTCCCCCAAGTAACTCTTATCGTGAAGAAATTTGTATCAGCTTTCCCGGTAACAAGGACTAGGGGAGTTCCAATAACCAGATTATTCATGACTCCATTATGGTAGTTTGATGAGTGCTTCTCCAATTTAGATTATGTTTTCCTTTTTCTCATGTCAAAAACAAGTGATCTTGCAGCTTGTTTTACATGCTTTTGGCGACGAGGATTGCATAAAGATACTGAAGAGATGCAGAGAAGCCATCCCAACGGAAGGTGCAAAGGGAAAGGTGATTATCATAGATATTGTGATAAATGAGAAGAAAGATGAACATGAAGTTACTGAAGCAAAGCTGTCTTTCGACATGTTGATGATGGTTGTGGCTACTGGAAGAGAGAGAACTGAACAAGATTGGGAAAAAATATTCTTGGCAGCTGGTTTCAGTGACTACAAAATAACTCCCTTGTTTGGTTTGAGGTCCCTTATTGAGGTCTATCCTTAGTAGGAAAAAAAACCAGATAAGATGTTTATCATTTTATTATGCTTTACTATAATTGCAGAAATAAATCTTGTTTTAGAGCTTGATAAAATATGATTCTTGAACAAATCTTGTTTTTGCCTCTCATTTTAGAAGCATTCTGGGCCTCTGTCCTTTCTGGATCTCTCCCATTTGAGGCTATATTGGAAAAAAAAGAGAATTGAAAAAGTCCTATACCTTTTTCATCCGAGCATTTAATTCAATATTGCATTTTGAATCTCCTTTTCAAATTTGAAAAAAGAAACATTGACTTCTTACAATCCCATGGCAGTCTAGAAGTAGTAGTAATTTTCCAACAGTCCAGCTACAAGAGGCAAAATTCTTGGATAAAATCAGAAATTTTCTACACCTACTGTTGTTGATTTAATTATAACACGCTACCTTAAAAAATGTATACTTCAAATATTTTATACCCAAAATGTTGATTCAAGAGGTTACTGTCAAACCTGACCATAAAAGTTAAAATACACAAGGATATACCTAAGCCTCCTTTGTGGAAGTCTAATTCTTTTGTTTTTTTTCATTTCAACAGTGGAAATTAAAAAAATTATACAGTCTGAATTGCCAACTTGATCCTTCCAAAATTTGCATATGATATTAAAGGATTATATATCTATTAATGGAGGTAAGAGTTAGGTGTCATTTTCCTTTGTTTGTGAAATTTCTAACCGAAAAAATTAAAGAAAATTAAATTTAAACTCATTTGATTAATAGAATTTAATGAGTAAATTAGTCAAATGTAAAAATTGTTGAAAAAATGGCCGACAAAAATTAAATTTAAACTCATTAGATTAATAGAATAAAATAAGTAAATTAATCAAATTTAAAAAATGTTGAAAAAAATGGCCAAGAGCTCCTTAATTTATTAATAGAGTTCAAATCTTAACAACTTCAAATACCAAAAAATAAAAATAAAAATGGAATCAATTAAAAAAATTTAATCATGGTTATTACGTAAGTTGTTAAATGTTGAAAATGGTTATAGTTTCAGAGTAGAGATTTTAACACAAAATTTTATGAAACTTCAAGTAGAGATTATTTTCTATTATTTATGAAAGGTTTCCATTACATATGCCACCAAAAACATATAAACCTAGGCTATTCCTGGAGTCCTTTTGCCACAAAACTAAATTTTTTCCAAGATGATTGTAGCCAATCCCCCTTATTTTGCATCATGAAATGCCCTTTACTAGTTCATGAGTTACATAAAAAATATATATTTGTTAATTCTCCAAAGATTCCGTATGATATGAATAATTAGGAATAAAAGATTGCAAGTAGTGTTTGCATCCCGATGTCTCGAAGTCAAGGATTTCATATTAACAATTTCATGAAGACACCTCATCAAGAAATTGATTCCCGGACGCTAATGAATTCCCCTTGTAGAGCAATTCAAGATATATAACCCTTCAATGCACTCCTCCACTATCATTAATTACTTGATTCCAAAAATTTTAAGCAATGTCTTTCAGGAAGGAGAATCTTGATTTGGTTTTGGTCCCTGCTGGGTTGCTGATCATGTTTGTTTACCATCTAATCCTTTTTTACAGATACTTGTATCTTCCTCACACGACAGTCATTGGCTTTGAAAATCATAACAAAGAAGCTTGGGTTGAAAGGGTTTTGCAGGCAAAGTCTTTTTCTTAGTTTCTCCTTTTCTTTTTTCTTGTAATTTCTAATTAAAATGATCAACCAGGCTTTACTTTTGTTACATGTTTTGGTTTGTGTTTGCAGGCTGATAAGGATGATATTAGTAGGGCATTGACTGTGATCGGATCCAACACATCGGCTGCAACTTTCTTAGGCTCAGTCTGTTTGACTCTCAGTTCCCTTATTGGAGCCTGGCTTGGATCAAATAATATCTTTCAAAGCAATCTAATTTATGGGGACACAAGGCCATCCACCATGTCCATTAAGTATATCTGCCTTCTCACCTGTTTCCTCCTTGCTTTTTCTTGCTTTGTTCAATCAGCCAGGAATTTTGTCCATGCAAACTATCTAATAACCACACCAAACTGTGAGGTATCAGTCGATTCTGTGAGAATAGCAGTTCTCAGGGGAGGTGATTTATGGGCACTTGGGCTTAGAGCACTTTATTTTGCTCTTGATTTGCTTCTCTGGTTTTTTGGTCCCATCCCAATGTTTGTTTCTTCAATAGTTATGGTTTTTGTCCTCCATTACCTTGATACTAATACCAGACCTTTGCACCCCTATCCAAATCCGATCACTCAGAAGGTCACTGCTAGAAGGAACCGAGGTTTAGTTGTCTAGAATCAATTTTTCAGTTCCATGAATTTGGAAAAATATCCAATATTCTTTTTTGACATATGCAATTATATTTGTTTCAAGCTGAAACACCAGATATGAAAGAGTTGATGGCTGAAGGTTGGGACTTAGGGAGTTTCGTGTTGGCAATTTTTTGCTTATTGTCACTTCTAAGTTGGGGTGTTGATTGAAACAACTTTCGATCTCCCCCACATTAGTTGATTGCGTTTGATTTGTTGATAAATGATGAAATAGTTGCAACTTTCTGCATCAAGAACTAGGCTGCTCATAATCATGTGCAGTACCTTCATCAATAAGCAAAGCTAAAATGCTTCAGAAGTTTAGCTCTGCACTAATCGATTATTTAATCCTCCATGTTAAATCACAATTGCAATTCTTTCATGCATAGTGGTTAAAAAAAAAAAAACTCTGTTTGACTTACATATATTTGAAACTACCTGGCTGGCTCTAGTCCTCAGAAGTTTCATGCATTATTTTAGCAAGACAGATCAAATTGCGAGACCAGACTCTACATTACTTGGTCTCAAATTGGCGCATGTTCATACTGCAAGCTTAAATGAATATGGAAAATTTATGAAAGCCCATGTTCCACTTCGTTTTCCATTCTTGGTAATGGGCTTCGGGGTGTTTATATCTCATCTCTTTTTCGCCTTTTAAAGAGAAACAAAATGTACCATAATCCATGGTGAATTAGGGGGAAAGAAGCAAATAAACACAAATGGCACAACAACACTTTTACTTAGCAAGCATGTCTTGTCCAAAAACAAAGTGGAAGCTACAAAATAACTGTTTCAAAAAACGAAAAAGTATTTTCCTTGGATTGATATCAAATAGTAAATAGATTCAGAGACAACGATAAAAAGTTTACCATCCATCGTACAGGATTTATCACACAACAAAACAGAACAATACCAAACAAAAGTTGGTTGGAAAGTGCATATAACGTAATGTCTATTATCATTACCCCCAAACCATATTTTTCCCTTTCTTTATCATTTGTAAATCCATGCCGATATGCTCAACCAGTGCATGTAACATTTCTGTTTTGAACCCAAGTTTGACCTTGATCACTAATCATCCAATAGTTAAATACAAAATTAATAAATATTATTTGAGTCGAATTGAATTAAATTTGAATAATTTGATTACTTTTTTATTTAATCCGAAATTAGATCTATTTAAGTTGACTCAAGTAAATTATACATTATCGTAATTAGAAGTATAATCGAGTCAAGTCGATTCGATACAGTGAAAAACTTGAGCTCCAATTTGACTCTCAACTCGCGGCTCGAACTAAATCGAATTTTATTTTTTTAGTTTGAGCTCGATTCATGATCGAAATTGAACTATTCGAGCTCGTTCGATTCTTATATTCGATAATAGCTCGATTATTTATGCTCGAACTCGAATTCAAAATATTTTATTAATTAAAATAATAAAAAAATTTAAATATAACAATTCGATTAAACTCTTGACCTACCTGAACTAAATATAAAAATATTCAAACTCGATTTGATTTATGAATCAAACTATTTAAATTTATATTTATAAATATTAATATATCATTTACACATTTAATCGTAACTCTCAAATAAAGCTGAGAAACATAAATAGACATTGATTGTGATATAAATATGCAAGTATTTAGTTCCTTTTCACCCACTCTTTTTTAAAACTCGTAATTAATTGTCAGTCCTAAGGTTAGAAGCGGAACATATCACTTATGCCAAACCTAACAACTTAAAATCGAAAGAAATTGTCTTTCCTCCTCAATATACTAGTAATACATCCAATAATATGTGAGAGAAACAACATCTAATTCCCAAGTTGAGCTTTCAACTTTCAACTTTTCCTTTTTTATAACTTTCAAAACAAAAGAAAAAGGGTAAGGATAAGGATAACGGTGTTTTTCTGACGTGTCCTTGGATAAGTTCACAAGGTTGCAGTAGAGCGTGAAATTTGCTGCGTACTTGGTTTATACAAGGAATCCACGTGAGCGACACCGTTTTGGGCAACTTAAGTCTGGCCCCACGGTGGGTGGGGTGGGGGGTCTGGCGCTCGCATCCCGTATGACAACAGCCCGTCAGGCTCTTCCCTCCCGAGTCCCGGCCTTTGCTTTTTGATTCCCTGACGCTTCCAACGCAGTTTTGGCCTAGTACCCTCAATCGGTAGCCGACAACTTCTGATCAGATAAAGACCGGTCTAGTTCCTTTTGGCAAGTCTCATGTGGGTCCTACCCACACTTATCTTACGCCACGTGTCCCATCTATTATTTTGGAATTAGAGTAAGTGAAATTCTTAAAAATTAAATCAAACTGTAAAAGAGAAAGTTGGGATTCTCGAGGCGCAAGAAACAAGAAAGAAGTTGGATCTCTGATCGCAGATGTTACACTATTTTTTAAATATTTTAGATAAAATTATTTATTTATCTTTTAAATTTTAAAATTTTAAATATATATTTTTAGTAAATTATATATTTTAGCAAATTTTTATATATAGTAAATTAAAAAAAATTTAAAAAAATTTTACAAATATTTTTAAAATTTTGGATGTATAAACTCAAAAATTTAAAAGCCTTCCAAGTATATAAATCTAAAAATTTTTAAGAATTTCTAATTCATGTATTTAAATTTCATAAGTATAAAAATAAATAATTAATTCATTTAAAATTAATTTTAAAAAATATGAACAGAAAAAAGTCCGTTTAGAATCACCACGAAGAGAGGCTAAAGACGTTAAAGACAACAAGGTGAAATGGCTACACTGCCGTCCATCAGATGATGAAGGAGTCGAAGACCCAACACGTGTATGGTGAGGAAAGTGGCAGAGCGTAGGTACAACAAAAGCATAGGGGCGCGTGCGACGATGATTGACATGACTAAAGTACGATGAAAGGCTGAGACAAACGCAGAGAAAGGGCGAAAGAGAGAAAAGGGTGCAGCAACCCGCGTAAAAGTCGAGGGGTCTTTCTGGCCTCTGCAGAAATTAAAGGCCTAATTTTGGTCATTTGGGCCCCCCCTTTCTGCTGCAACGCTGCAATCTGCAACACACCCATTTCACCACATTTCCACGCCCCCCCTTCGTCCGTGCTTCAGCCTTGAAACCCCAAAACATAATTATAACTCCCAACCTCAATTTCAAAATCACACTAGTATCTTTGTCTTTGCCTTTGCCTTTTTTATATATAGTTTGACATAAGTATCTGTCTTTTGAGATATAACTTTAAAAAGTTTTACTTTCCTAACGTAGTTTTGAAGTTTTCAAATCAAGTCGAGTAGATGTAGCAGCGAAACAAACGGAGGAGATTGTTCATCTGAAACCTGATAGTACAGGCTCCATGGGCAGAGATGCTTCACCTCTGGCCTTGTTGATTATGGTCTTGGTCATGGTCTTGGTCCAACCCTGGCTCTCATTAGGTTTTTGAATCGTACAACAAAAACTGTTCAACGTACAGAAAGCTTGCAGTTCCAGATTTCCTTAAACCATAGCTAGGTTTTCCATACCCGTACAAGGGTGAAAATAAAAAGCTAATCGTTGCGTACACTGTCATACTGAACAAATTAAGACAAATGACGATTTTAAAAAAAAAATTAAGACAAATGGTAAGACTCAGGAATACTGTTAAAAGAAATAGAGATCATTGATCAGTGCGTAGGATTATGATTGTCTTCCACCTTGACATTGTTTTTGCCTTGAGTTGCGTATGCATTATTAATCTAGACAGGCAACGAAATCAAAGTGATGTAAAAGTTCGATACGTTTTGTCTGTAATGTGAGAACATTGCTTTGTTGTGTTTGGAATGTTCTAATTTGTCTGGTAATTTTACCCATTATAGATAGGGTTGAAAAATAATACAATCAAAAGTTAATTCAAAATTGTAATGTTTTTGTTTTACATGTAATGATCAAATTGAATCAATCCAATCGGTTGTCACACTTAAAAATAGTTAATCTATATTTTTGGTTAAACCAATAGAAAATGGAAAATTATATAACTTTGTCCTTTGCCGGTATATAGTAATAAGTTATTTATATGTTGCAAGACTAAAATTATTTTCTTTGCATTTTTTTTATTTTTGCTCTGTACTGAATTATTTGTTTATAATTTTCAAATAGCTTTATTTTTATTTTACTTTTTCATCTTTTTATAAAAAAAAACCTAAAATACAAAAAAATATGAATAGTAAATGAGATAAATATATCCATGATCTCTCGAATTAGTTAATATATTATTAAATTTGAATTATTTTTAATAAATTATAAACCTATAAATAGTTAAATTATTTTTTTATCTTTAGATAAATTGAGTCAATAATGGGACTAGAAATCAAATCACATAGCTATTTACTTACAATTATTGCAATTTTGGCACAAGATATAGACAAGATCTGTTTAAGAAAAATGTTCAACATGGAAATGATTTTTTTATGAGACGACAAAATGAGCTACAAACATCTTGCTTTTTCCTCTCCTTAATTTTTGGTAATCTCACCTTTTCTCTTGCTTTTTTCTTTTTTTTTTTTTTCAATTTGGTATAATTAACATCTAAGAGTGTACTAATTGGAGCCAATAATCCAAAACATTTTTTTCAAAGAGAAAAAATTAGTAAAAAAAAAAAGAAGATGCTCTATATATTTGTAGGCCCCAAATGCCTTTCTTCTTTTGGATAATTTTCAACAAAGTAGAAGTACATTGGTTTGATCAATCTCTATGTGAATCCAAGAAAAACTTTATGGTACTTCCCTCATTTGAAATGACAATTACTAAATTAAAAAAAATTATAAATTTAATTTAATTAATTCATATAATTATATTTAAAAAAATAATACTTAATAATTTAAAATTTAACAAATAAATTTTTTATCTTTAAATTACGATATTATTATAAAAGTTTGAAAAACCTAGGCACAAGCAATAATCTTGACGTTCTTATGCCATAAAATAATACTCATACCAACTTAATAGATGCGACAAAATTAACCAACTGTTGTCTTAAAACATCAGTCAAAAGACATCATTATAAGATTGGTTGAGATGAGATATAATTAACTAAACATTATGATATCTCAAGCATCATTGGTTTCAATGTTTTTTAGTTCTTTTAATCCTATGGTGCACGTGAGGCCGAGCATCATCATTTCTTTCTTTAACTCACATATGGCTGCTAAAAGGCATTACTTTTGGATTTGGTCTCTTTTTCTTTTGCCATTTCATTTTAATTAGTAAACATGCTGCATGATATCTCACATGACTCTTATAAATTACACTTAGAAGAGAACCCTCCTTTTTTTTGTTTTTTACAAGGACTTAATGACCCATCAAAGGGATGCAATGCCCTAAAAAAATCAGGTCCGAGGGGGCAGAAAGTGGCAATGCCTAACCAAGTGCTGATTTATGCATGCAGGTGTAGTGAAAGGGTACGACTAATGTTTATGGTTTCCATACAGG